CAGCTGAGTCAGTTATACCATTTGTTAAAATCTAGGCGTAGCGAAAAGCGACACGATGCCTAGATTTTTGGAGTCATACACTTGTCAGCGGTATTGATGAAGACGTATTTGTGCGCTACTACGGAGGTTCAAGATCTCGAGTCCAAGAGATAATTGTCTGCGGAAGAATTGTTGGATTCGTCGTCATCGCTTGGAGTTTCACGTGACTGTGTCATCTTACCAATACAATACAACTTTGAAAATGTATTTTCAAAAATGGTCTCACTGAATTACGAAACACTAACACATGCAAAACAATATAAATAATAATAATATATATTCACATTTATCCACTTCATAACCATGCGTCGGTCGATAAACTCACAATTCATACCAATAGTCTTCGTTTCGTAGGTTTGTCTTGGTTAGTAATTTCATTATCCATCACATGTTTCGTTTGTTTGCTCCAGCGTCACTCAAACTTTAAAAAATATGCAACCTGGTGTGGTGTCATACCAGTGAAGATAGGGGTTTTATTAAAGCTGAAAGGGTGGCTAATGGATGCGCACTTCATACAGGGGGATCCGACCAAAAGTAGACAAATGTTTTTTAAAATATCTACAATATAAATGTAAAAGAGAAAAAAACTATTTTGCAGAAAATAGCATTATACAGATAAATAATAGAATTCATTGTTATTTTTCGATATATCCTCTCTTTGCCTTCACTGCACGCCTCGATCTGTTTGGAATTTGACTGCACGAGGCACGTATGGTTTTTTCTGAAATTGTGTCCCAACAAGTCACCAATCTATAGGACTCAAGGTGCGTTTATTGCAACCGTATACTCTGTGTAAACAGGCAATAAAACCGAACATAACAGAATTTTAATGAATTTCAACAATGGCCTTTTCTGTCGCACAATATTCAATCCATGACAACGACGAGAATTTAAGATGTATCCCCTATTTTAACTTAATTGTGTTCATGATAATTCGCGGTTGCGTCGAATTGCGACAAGATGAAAGCATTACTTCTCTAAAATACAATGGCAATCTGTGAACATAATAATGTGAGAATATATTGCCCGGTTATACTTAGATTAATACATATTTTTTTGCGATCTTGCGAATTTGTTAGAAAAATCCTACTATCTGCTCTAAATTTTTAGAAAGTACAACTTGATTTAGTACTTATTAGTATATATTCAAAGTATAGTAGTAAATCAAAAATACATATTCATCGCCATGGTTTATTATTAATTTTATTGTGATCATTTTAATCTGCGGTTGTGTTGACGAAATAAAAGCAATAGTATACTCAGAAAATATGATGACAATCCGTGAACACTAAAATGCGTGGTAACGTGCCCGATCAAGTCAAATCTGAGCTGTTTGTACAACACCTACGGCAGTACTGTACGTACCAATGTGGAAGCAGTAAAGCAAAGAATCCTAAGGGAAAATGCTCTGGTGCAAAATTTTGCGATTTGCAATGTCTAAAAAGCGTTTTTAATCGGTCGCGGACCATCATAAAACAAAACTTATGGTGTTCTTCGTTTTATTTATAGTATTTTGTATTGCCGCTTTTCAATTTAGAAAATTTGGGTAGTCACCATTGACACCAAATGAAAAAAAAATATATTTCTCGTTGTGAGAACTCGCGAGAAACACCACTTAGGTATTTATCGAAGCGTGTGCAGATTCGTGTTTTCGTCGGAAATCCGCAAGTGAGTTGTGAAATCCGGTTTTATTACATTTGAACCCACGTACATTTGAACCCACGACAATTGCGCCTGCATACTATTGCACCTATGTACATTTTTTTTCGTTTTACGGATATTTATACCCATACTAACCCTAACCCATGGGTTTTAGCACCCGTATATAGATTGAACCCATGGATATACTCTGAATACGCGCAAGTGACCTATCGCGTCACCTGTTACCAAATTTTCGAATAGTAAATTGCTATTCTAATAGTTGAATATTCGAATATATGCCCAGATATACTAAGTAACCAGTAATTATTGATTCGATTAATGTTATGTTACTAAACTTGTTTTTTATGTAAATTCTAACGTAAATCGCAACGTGGCTAAATTTCTGGCTCGTTGCGGACTCATTCAAACGCTCCGCGGACTCATTTGAGACCGCGGACTCGGGTTGGGAAACACTGCCTTAGACTTAGAGCAGTCGTTCTCAATCTGAGTTAGCGAGGGAGGGAGGATATATGGTATAATAACATTAAATTCTATTATTCATTCTTATGATGCTAATTTCTGCAAAATAATTTTTTCTTCTACATTTAAATTGTAGGTATTTTAATAACACTTGTCTACACTTGGTCTGATCACCATGTATATATCGTGTTTTCCCGAAAATAAGACTTAGTCAATAACGCGAATTTTTTTTACCTGGTCGACAGCAAGAAATTTCTCCCATACGTTTTAAATGATTATTCTAAAACGTGTGAAATAGGAAAACGTGTCATTTAAGTAAATGAATATCGGTTTCAATATTTGAAATCTCCTAATTTTGTACTTTCTAATTTTGTTTTTAATAAATAAAATAATAAGAAAACCCACGAAAATAAGCCCTAGTGTTATTTTTCGGAAGAAAATTGAAAAAGGACACTGTCTTATTTTCGGGGGAACACGATAAATAAGCATACCTATAATAATACTGACAGAACTAAATGATCTTTAAATCATTAAACTTCAACTCACTTTTTATGCAAGAATCCCTAACAATACCGTAAGATCAATAACAAAAAGAAACAATTATTTGTACCTGCAACTACTAGAAAGGCTATCTTATAAATGTACGACCCGTGGCTTCACCCAGTTACTTGTATCTGGCTCTCCTGTAATAAAGGTTGCACACCCCTACTATACACACTATAGAAAAATTGCATTCGGTTACGGAGAGTTACTCAAGTTATGTTACATAAATATGGATACTAGTGGTACTGTATTTGGTTGTGGTTAAACAATGTGTATGTACATAAAATAATATAGATTCTAGGATTTGAATGCGGAACCCCTGGACTAGTGACGGATCCCTAGAGCGAACGCTGATTGAAGGAACCGCGACAGACAGTGGGGTACGGCTGATTTCGTTGAGGGGGCATTTAAAAAGTAGAAAATATGGGACGTCATTATATGATGTCCTATATTATATTTTACACAATGGGAATATTCGCTGGGGCGCCATAGTGGATTTATGTGAATGCATCGAAGATGGCGGACACTGGAACGTAGAATGTGTACCAAGGTAGGGTTGGGCCATCATTTCAGGTACAAATACTACGGGAGTCACTTGGCTAGTCCCCGAACTCGTAATAGAACTAAAATAAGGAAAAATTGAATAAAGTTGGGTCGTAACCCTAACCAGGTACACATACTACGTTCAGGTGTCCGCCATATTGGTTCACATACTACGGGAGTACCCACAATTGTAGTCATAATCTGGCGCTAGCACATTTGGTAATAACTTGAATTTAAAAATAAGTGTAGTTCGAGACTATACTAATAAAAAATGGTACCAGAATATGCCCTTTGCCCATAATTTGCCCTTTTCTAGTCGTGGCATGACCCATTACCGCAGGGTGTGAGTTTCCCACAATAATCGCTCGCGAGAATTAAAACGGAGCGATAGACTCGCATGATTATTTGTAGAATCTTAGTTGCTGTTGTTAGAGATAACCCTGCATGCGCATGTGACATTATCTCCAGGGCCGGATTCATCGATATATAAAGCAGGCGCCGAAGCCTACGGCCTCGACATTTAATTTACCGTGTTTCCCCAGAAATAAGACTGGGTCTTATTCCAATTTTCTTCCGAAATATAACACTATATTGGTCTTATTTTCGGAGGATGTCTTTTATTTTCATCTATCAAAAACTAAATTACAAAGTAAAAAATTACGAGATTTTCAATTATACAAAATATGAAAAACGATATCGGTTTACTTATTAAATGACACGTTTATATTCAAAATAATTGCAAAACATAGATTAGGAATCATTTGAAACGTGTCGGAAAGATTTTTTGCTATGACCTAGGCAAAAAAAAATCGCGTTATTGACTAGGTCCTATTTTAAGTGGAGGGCTTATATTAAAATCATTTTCAAAGGTCTTTTTTTCAGGGTAGGTTATTTTCGGGGAAACACAGTAGATCTATCATCCATTTTTTAATTTTAAAGGCTTCTTCCAGAATTTACCCGATATAAAATAAATTAATTTGTCTAGTTTCGAAAAACCCTTTCAATTAATTTAACAGTTTTTTCTCTAATAACGCCTTTATTTTATTGTATTCAGCATACCCACTTTTTCAGTATTTGTTCAACTGAGTGTAGTTATCGTGTGAGTTTTTAGAGAATAACAATCCTATACTTTTTTGTTCTAGGTTCTTGTAAAGAATCTGATTTAGAGTGAACGTGTGGGCGAGCACTCTGATACTTTTGAGTAGTTGCAGAGAGCCTATTTTGGGTGTCGCTGCTCGATAACCAAATTTGGTTCCCCGCGGCTTCCCTTCCCCAGTAAAAATGTGTGTAAAATTTCGTTTATTTTTTGATTTTGTATGTTATTTTTTTGCTGGCTGGAAAAAATAAATTTGACTACAATTTAGAGCAGTAATTCTCAAACTTTTCAAGCCGCGCACACTTTTTCAGAATTTATTATTTGCTAGTTCATCGTGAGTGAGCACCGACATACTTCAACGAAGTTGTAGTTACATATTATGCAGTTTTCGAGGCACACCCTTTACGTGAATATCTCACCTAATATACCGCTGGCTTGTTGCCAGAGCGGGCGTTGCTAACAAAACGGACATTCCTTCTCGTGCAATTCAGAGATGTCACATTTATTGTATGGTGAGCAAGTTATGACCCATATTATGTACATTGTGTATTTAAGCATTGAAATTTCGAATTTGCATTGAAGTTCTGAATACTACAGTGTAACTGACAAATCTTGCATATATTCTATATTCAGATTTAATCAATAGTTAGTAGATTTATTTCCTTATCGATAGAAAAGGTGATATACTGCATCGACGAGTGTACGAAGACTTTTGAGCTCTGCGTGCGACCTTTCAGGAAGGTCGATATCCCGGTGAGTCGCAGTTAGTTCCGAACGTGCTAAATAAGGTGTTGTATAACCGGTATAAAGCCAGCAGCATTTGCGAAAAGAGCATCATTTCTGATACAGCTAAGAGACCTTTCAAGTTATATTAAAAATGGCTGACGACGAATTTTGTGAAAATGAACAACAGCAAGCTTCCCTTGCGACAACGCTTTTGGAACATACCGAACTTTTGAACATCGATAGCAATCCTTCAAGTTGCAGAAGTACAGGAATAATATGTACCATCGGACCAGCTTCAGGAAAAGTAGAAGTTTTGAAAAGTATGATCAAAAAAGGAATGAATATCGCAAGATTGAATTTCTCACACGGATCTCACGAAGCACATGCTAAAACTGTCGCAAATGTCCGTGAAGCCACTCAAAGTTTTCTGTCAGATCCAATTCAATATCGACCAATTGGAATTGCACTTGATACCAAAGGACCGGAAATTCGAACAGGTTTGCTGAAAGGAGGAGGCAGTGCTGAAGTTGAACTTGTTAAGGGAAAGAAATTCAAATTGTCTCTTAATGATGCTGACAAAGAAAGTGGAGATGCAAGCAGTGTATATGTTGACTACAGGAATTTATCAAAAGTGATTGGTGTTGGAAAAAGAGTTTTCATTGATGATGGCTTAATTTCGCTGGTTGTTCTCGAGACAAATCCTGAATATGTAATGTGTGAAATTGAAAATGGGGGTATGCTGGGTTCCAGAAAAGGAGTTAATCTACCAGGTGTTGAAGTAGATTTGCCTGCGGTGAGTGAAAAAGACAAAGGAGATCTTCGCTTCGGTGTCGAACAAGGAGTCGATATGGTTTTTGCGTCTTTCATCAGAAAAGCAGATGACGTGAAAGCAGTTCGCAAAGTACTTGGTGATGATGGCAAGAATATTCTCATCATTTCAAAGATTGAGAACCATGAAGGTGTTCGTAAAATCGATGAAATCATTAAAGAAAGTGATGGAATCATGGTTGCTCGTGGAGACATGGGTATTGAAATTCCTGCAGAAAAAGTATTCATTGCACAGAAAATGATCATCGCAAAATGCAACAGAGCTGGAAAACCCGTTATTTGCGCAACACAGATGTTGGAGAGCATGATACACAAACCGAGACCGACCAGAGCAGAAGCTTCTGATGTTGCGAATGCAGTTCTTGATGGAGCTGATTGTATTATGTTGAGTGGAGAGACTGCAAAAGGTGATTATCCATTGGAATGTGTACTCATGCAACACAAGATAGCGAGAGAAGCTGAGGCCGCATTATTTCACCTTCAAGTATTTGAAGAGCTGAGACGTGCCCGCGGTTTTGCGACTGACCCCACAGAAGCAGTTGCAATTGGCGTAGTTGAATCGTCTTTCAAATGCCGTGCGAACGCTATCATAGTTTTGACAAGATCTGGAAAATCAGCACATCTGATTTCAAGTTACAAGCCAAGAGCCCCGATTCTCACTGTAACAAGATTTGCCCAAACTGCACGACAAGCTCATTTGTGGCGAGGGTGTTTCCCAATTTTCTATCAAGAACCAGTGATATCACCATGGGCTGATGACGTCGACGGAAGAGTCAAATTTGCGATTGCTACCGGTCTGCAACGCAAGATGTTCAAAAGTGGCGATTTTGTTGTCGTTGTCACTGGATGGCAGCCAGGTTCCGGGTTTACTAACACAATGAGAGTTATTGTTGTTGAATAATAATAACACACTACCATTATATTATCAACTGTTCATTTTTTTGCTTCAATTTATTTTAATAAGTTCAAGAAAAGAATTTATTCAGTTTTCTGTAAAATATATCTGTATGCACCAGTTCTAAGTATAGGCTTTGGAAAAAGTATATCCTATAATACACTTGAAATCCATAACGGGCGGGAGATATACTTCTTTCTTTCATAGTCCTGTATTATTAAATTATTTGTATGAATTTTGAGTTCTGCCAATAAAGATGAGCACTATTTGTGATTTGTATTTCAGTTTGGCTTGTTGAGAGGACGGTGAGACACTTTCGCTATATACGCATATCAACATAATTTGGGCATGGAAAAGCCAACTTATTTTTTCATTGTGTCCCTAAAGTGCTTGCAAACGGTATTTGTAGAGGAAATGTATATTTCTATGGCAGCTTCCTTTGCACTGCTAGTAACCGTGTTGTATTACTTCTACGGTACTCTCGTAGTATGTGTACCAATTTGGGGTTAGACCATAATTATATACCGATTTTTCTTATTTTAGTTCTATTACGAGTTCGGGGACTGTCTGTGTTAGCCAAGTGAATATACCCCCTGCCCATAAGTTTCGGTCCCTTCATACCACTTTATGTATAGTAGGCGAACAAATTTAGTTACCTCCATGTTGGTACACGTACTTCTGGAGTGCCCCTTTTTCTACAACTCTTTCCCCTTGAGTCATCTATACATAAGGCTAAGAGCCAGAGAGGTTTTGTTTGGTACTGGGACAATTCACGGTAAGAAGAATTTGCTAGCTTGTAGAAATAGCATAAAATAAGCTGTGTTGAGACTAGGAAAATGTTGTCAATACACTAATAAATCCCACTTGGTGCAAGATCGAAGTTTCAAGTCGCATGCGCATCCATTTCTCTGCTATTTATATAATCTAATGACTAGACTCGACCCACGAATTAGGGTTTAGGGAATCGTAACTTACTGTAACCAAGTAAAACATGGCACACCAGTTTAGGTTATGTACTAATGTATAATACTATATCAAAATATCCATTACTGTTTTACTCATTGACAATTTTTATTTGATATAACGAAGAAAGCTTAAAAAATGATTGCAAACATTTGAAAAGGTGTTAAAACTAAGGTTTTGACAGTGTGACCAAAATTTCTTAAATAATCTCTTTCGAGATGAGAAATTAATGAAACCTTATCTCAGCCATACAATCATCCATCAGTGTGTGGCCATACAATATGAGAAAGTAATTTCAAACAGATTCAACAAAATTCACGGAAAGTTAAATGTAACAATAGCATTCTATTCATAAATGACATGACAATAAAGCGATGTTGTGAGTATTATTGTAAATTCCAGGCTTTTTTGTTTTGAAATTCAATACCATTGTTTAATTATTTCAACATGGGACTGGTAATGTACAGTTTAATGATTCAACATTTTCTCAAGTCAATGTCACAAGAACTAAACAAAAGATAATTTAAATCCTAATGTTTATTTGACAAATATTTACCTATTTCACTTTTGCATATGAAAACTATTATTACCTGTGATTAAAACAGCAACAGGAAGTGACTATACGTATTCGCAAGGCTTGAAACATGACTTTGGTATTGAACACATTTTTCTACTGCTGACACGACACATTAGGAAACAATTCAAGCGGCGAGTCAGACACATTGATAGTGAATTCCACATATCTTCACGTTTACAAGAACATGAAAAGTCCTCTGCGAATTGCTATAGCTGAATTTATTGAAAATGAGCTGTCTAAAACTGAAACAATAAACATGTACAATGCATGCAAAATACTACAGAGAGAAAATAGCACCAAGCATATGCTAGAATTGATAACTCTACATAAGTTATAACTGATCAAAAGTTCAATAAACATGGTTCAGAAATGTGTTTTTTAGTTACAGAAATACAATGCAAGCAGTGGGTACAAAGTTAGTTCAGTTGTAGTATATGTATAACAAATTTCAATTTTACTATCTGACTATATAAATTTAGGTATGTTTTTGTAATGACAAAAAAAACGTAAATACAATTTTGAAAACAAGAAAGTTCGGTGTAGCAACAATTTAAAATTTGAAGTGCTGATGCTGAGAAAAATATTGTCAATACAAGACTCATAGTCATCCATTTCACTGTTTTTAGTGTTTTAAGTTACAAAAATACAAACTCACTGGACTGTTATAATTGCTCCAAAATTTGTACTTAAAAGTACCAATTCATATACGTTATATTATTTTTTGAATCCAATATTTTGAAACATCATCTTTTCACACTTCAAACTAATTGACTAGTAAAATAGCTTCAACTAACAAAGCAATCCTGTACATGTTTAGGAAAGTACGACGAAAATGTTTCAGCAACAGCTTTTGATAAATAACTCATTGTACCATAAGTTCCGCTCGGAGCACAATCATAGAATTCGGTACAAATTCCTGAAGCAGTGTCTCTTACAAGCATGCTTGGAGGTGCGCTTTGTTTCACCTAGAATAAATTAAGAGTTGATTAATTTGTGGAAAGTATAGAATTTACGTATTCATCCCCAAAGTGGAAAGACGCTAGGATGACTTATCATGTGGCGAACCATCATATTGCAGTTACCAGTCCATGTCCATGTTTTGTTTTCAGACGCACGGACTTATTTATGGATTTATAGATTGTAATGTTCTTATCGATTTTAATCGATAAGTATGTTGATAGGTATTTGTGGGTATAGGTATAGGTATCTGTCTGTCTGCTTGTCTGTTAGATGCATGCGATATCTCACGAAAGCGAGATTGAATCTGCTCCAGATTTTGCATGTGCATTCATCTTATCTCGGACCAGAAGCCTATTGATTTTGGACGAATTATGTCGTATAATTAGCGAGTTATTAATTAATTAGTGATGGGACACAAGGTGTCACTATGGAGTAAGAGCGCTGTTTTGGGGGATCCCCTAATTTTCGATCGATAAGTCTTCGGTCTCTGACCGATATTCTAGTTTATCACTTTAATACTACTTCGTTCAAGCATCTTTGTGTTAACAGCCGCATAAGTAGGAAATAGACAAGGAAGAAACAAATGCAGTTCAATACACAATATCCATATGTATCAATATTCAATAAGGTAGTTTGGTATCACAAGTGAAGAAATATATATAGCAGAATTCTTGGTTTATAAAATTTTCTTTCTAAAAATTTCTAAATAGAAATTGACAACTCGCACAATTTCAAGTAATTAGGTATAATTCAGACAATTTGACTTCAATAGGGAAAGAGTTAATTTATGTAAAATGTTATGTTTTATACTCTTCTTATGATGGTTATGCAGATTAAATCTTGACTTTAAATCCCATGGCCATCATCTTACCTAGGATGTAATAAATTGGGTAGGCTGGACCAGAAAGATTCCAGTTTTTCCAAAATTTGGCGGGCCATATTAAATCGTTACACGGGCCGTGATTGGCCTGCAGACCGCGGTTTGGGAACCACTACTCTAGAATTAAGACGAGAAAGATTAACCCATAATCTCACCATGTCATCGTAGAATAAATCACTCGCTTTGATCAATATCTGATCAACTCTTATATTGTCGTTAAGAAATGGTAATCCTTGAGCGTTGGCAATCAGTGATAATATGACCATGGTTTCAACAATAAGTTGTCTATATTCAGGTTGAGGGATATGATTTAACACATTTTCAACTAAAAGAGCGAACTTTAGTTCTCCTTCCGTCATCTGGAATAAAAAACATTATTTGGTTATAAAAAAATGAATAAATTCACCATAATGAACGAGTTTCTTGAAAAACAAAATGCATTTTTACTCAAAATACAGTTACTGAACAGGGCAAAAACCAGTTTGTATTATTGTTTTGTTTTATACAGGGCTTCAGAGTCAAAGTTTGTTAACAGACTATAAAAGAAGTTTTGCATATGCCAAACTGTTTATCAAAAAGAAGTTGAGAACAAAAATATTTTTTTAACTCAAGTTCGATTGTGAATTTTCCACAACTACTGGTACAGACAGTCTCGTCTTCTGACCGAAAATAAATGCAACAGATCATAGGTATGAAAATGGCACATTACTGTAATCCTAAATTTAATTCTAACAAATGAGCAGTCAAGGGTATAATAATAATCAATATAAGAAGTACTCTGATGTTATCATTATTATTGATTATTTGTAATAATCAATTAAAATATGAAAATGTCAGTTAACACTTGGGTGATAGATTTTGACAATATGGTACATGTATCCCAGCCATATTGTTAGTACAGTACTACAAGCGGAAATGCGAAGCAAAACATGTTCAAATATGATATATAAGTAAACAAGTATTAAAAAACAAACAAACCTCTTTCGTGACATAGCCTGGAACATAGTGAACACCAATCATTAGTCCGTAACATTTTTCCAACAATCTCCAAATATGACAATAAAATTTATGAGGAACTCTATTCAATGCTCCATCAATACGTCTCCTTCTGATCCATTGTCCTCTCTTTTCACCAGAATACTGAAAAAAATGTTGATTGTAGGTGATTATACAATTAGAATCCCATTTAAAAATTATACATTCTAAAAACAGAAGTTCATTTGCTGTGTCCTGGCCGACAACGATCAGTCACAAGTGGATTGTTCACTATTATGCCCACGGTAATTTATAACTGTGCCGATTAACTTTAAATTTAGGAAGTGGAATCGAATTTGTAGCATTTGCCAAAGGCACGTTCCAAAAAGTATTGTTCTAGGAATTTATTTCAGGAGTAAAATTCATCAGTTGTTACTAGTCCGGTTTAGGGCTAGGCTTTCCAAATCGAATGGTAAATTATTCAAATTTGTTCAGACAAGAATTTCAAATCGCTGACATCTCGTTTTGGAATCCCACAATTTTTTTATTGAGGTCATATTTTTACAATGCAATCCTGACATATGACTCTTTTTTTCTGAGTTATTGATGAAACATGTTTCCTATTGCGTGTGAGCACTAAGCAAACTGTCTGAGTAATAGAATACGTGTTTCCAGTAATTTATGTGTCTGGAGGACCCATTTTATTAAAAAATCACATACAATTACAGATCTTCCAAATATACAAGATCCAATTTTATTTGAAAAAAATATTCAATCTGATTCTGAAATGATCAGATATTCGAAAATGACGAGTCAAAGTCAAGTCACACTAGCTTTGGGAGACACAAGATTGAAAACTACTGTGATAGAAAAATATTTACTTCCTTCCAAGTCCATAAAAATATTGAAATTAAATGACCTGAAATTTTTTAAATAAAACCAATAAAACTCTAAAAAATTTATATTCCTATACTTAACGTTTTAAATAAAAATAAAAAATAATGTTTACATCCGCACAAATGTTATAATTTTTTTGTACAAAAACCTCACCTCACTAGGTTCATCAGCGAGAGCTGAATATTCTTGATCGCTGCATTGAGTGAAAATATTGGGGATGATAAGTTGCTTCATGGCAATGGTGGGACTGAGTGGAGTTGTAGTGCTGCTTGAACTACTACTTGAGTCAATGGAAAGAGGTCGAGATATTGTTCTTGTCAAATCACGACTCTGAAAAACAAGAGAGCAATGCTTAAATATATGGACACGAAGGTTATATGTATAACCATGGTGCCAGTAGTCCAGGGGTGGGCAAATACTTTCCTGAGTGTTCCGGTTACAGATAATAGATTTGGTTACGGGATCAGACGCACAAAACCCAATATGAAAAACTATGAAAATTTGTTTATAACAGCTACCGGTAGTTCAACAGATAGGCTAACATTTATATAATAAAAAGAAGTAACATGTAACAATTTCAATTATTATGACGTTATTTTCATCAATACTTTCAACGGAATTGGGTACCCATAAAAACTATAGTCATAATTTAAGCAGACACAAGTGGGCCAGATGAAACACTTCAGTGGGCCGTGATTTACCCACCCCTCCAGAAGCCTATGTGACTTACACAGAATTGCGGCTAGGTACCTAATTCAAAAAATTGATATAGAGTACATCCATGATGTCAGAATAGAAATAGGGTTCCTATGAATGGAAATAAAAAGTTAAAATTTTTTTCGGTTCTGCGACTTCAATGCAGTTATTTTTATTTCTGGTTGTTAGGCTGTTGTTAGGGGTACATGTCGCACATCCGTGTCTTAGACCAGTAAATTCTTGAATATGTATCCCATCTCTGTTATACTGTTTAATTAACCTTCACATACTATATTCCTGCCCCATTGGTCCATCAAAACTGAGAAAAAAGCATTTAAAAATAAATGGGAATTTTACCTTTAATTTTTGCTTCAAGTTTGCAAATCGATTCTTATCAGCTTTAAATGAAACTTCTGTTGTTTTCACTGATATATCAGCGGATGATGCGTGTGTTCTCTCTGATTGAAAAAATAAATAAAAACTTGGACTGGCTTCTAACCTATATCACAGCATTTTACAAGCAGGGATGGTCACAAACGAATATATTACAGAAAGAACTAATTTGCTGATTTTCCATGGAATGGTTAAGAAGAACTGACACAATATTAGACTAAATGTTCGAAGGTTCATTAAGAATCGAGCACAAGTGACAAATAACGTAATTTGAACCAGGTTCAAATAGGGTCATAAAAAAAAGTCATTTAAGACCATCAGAGATTTTGTAAAAAAAATACAGTTTGCACCCAAATTTATGATATTGTAGACGGGGATGTGCAGACGGGATAATTTATAATGAAATACGACCCCAAACTCTGGATTGGGAAAAAATTTGGCTCCAGCTCTGGATCTCTGTAAAGCAGCGGTCCCCAACCTAGGGCTTTTGCGGCCACAGTGCAGTTGGTGGGAAGCCACAATGCTACGCACAAAATTGATCTTATTTTTCCCTTCATGAGGAAAAACTCCCTGTTCTTGCTGGTTTCATTGAGCATGAATTGATTGGAATCTACCAATCGAAATACCATGATAAATAAACAGGGGGCCATGAGTGCTAGAAACGTCCAGAAGGGGGCCATAAGCCATAAAAAGGCTGGGAACTACTGCTGTAACGAGTGCTTTATAAATTTAATACTTCTGAGTTTCTGTAAAATATTTTTTTTTTTCACCATTGAAAGTCTGAGGGAAATCAAATTTTACCTCAGACTCCCAACTTTGATTGTTTTGTATTCCCTTGTCTAACAAGTACCACTCAATCTCAATTTGCAGATAACCTTACCACTTTTAGTAATTCCAAATTCTTTTCCGCTGAGTATATTATGAATGAGACGTTTCATCTCATACGGACTCAAACTCATCAATTGTATCGAGGCTTCTTCACCTGAACATTTGAGATGTCGTGCCAGTTCACTCGCCATTACCTTAAACATAGAAAATATGAAATGGAGAATTCATAGAATGTAAAAATGCCCTGGCTGACTGAAAAGTCACGAAGTTTAAATATGGTAGATTCTATCAATCAAAATACACACATCTACACATGATAATCGCAGAAAAACTAAGATGAAAATGATAATAAAAAAAAAATTTCTGTTACGAGTGCAGTATAATATGGTTCTTACAACACTATGAAACAACAAACGACCACAATGGCCATTTTGTTTTTACTGGACATGAAGTGGACCTATAGATTGTTTCGATAAATTGTTTTGGGTTTAGAGAAAAAAAATCGCTTTTTTCTGCGCCACAGTACAAAAAGATATATATATATTTTTTTCAAATTACGAGTTCTATGGGTTCAATTTGGTTTTCAGAAATATTTTACTAATTACCTGAATAATTAGGCCGACTCTCAATCTTAATAAATCACTGAACAAGCCTGGTGATGATCTGATGAACATAGCAAGATACATTATGATTTCCTGGAAAATAAAGTTTTCCTTTTAGTTTTCAGACACATCACTTCTATCAAGGTTAGGAAATTATTTTCATATCCGGCCCGAAAGAAAGAAAAGTCAATAAGTCGGCTCCATGATATGGCTAAGCAGCACATTGTACTAAGAGGCTTGCAATCGTACTTTTGATTACCATGCATGGGGTCGCAGGTTCAAATTCTGTGGAAGACAATTATGAGAGTGGGATTATCGGGACTCCTCACCAATACAGGGTGGTTTACGTAACCGTCGGTTACGGCTCCCTCCACCGTCAAGTCCAAGCAATCCCATACTCGATATGGACTATTAAACAGGCAAGAGGCCTTCCTAGTATAAATATGAACCCTAGCCTACTACTATTCAGCTTGAAACTAAAAACAAAAATGCTACAACATTGCTACAAGCATTGGTGACTATATTACCATGTCGCTTAATTACAGAACTGAACTGAAAGTATAAAATACCTGTGTTAAAACAGCGATATCTGTGTCTTCTCCAAAAGCATCCATGATTAGTTTATGAAGATCTTCAAGAGGTAGAGGTCTGAATGTAAAAAATATGCGTTATGCAACCTGTTTTACTCTAACCAGAGCTGTGAATCAAAGAGTCAGATTTACCCTCATGGGGTAAATTTATCATAGGTTAAGAACTCTTGTTCTAAAATATTCCTGAATCTGCAAATATGCTTCAATTTGGCAACTGTGTGGAAGGTTGTGCGTCTTTATATTAGCACGCAATCTAAATGACTTTCTTGCTTTGGAATGATAAGGAATCATAGTAACAAGCCAAGGTTGCATTTTTCAACCAATAAAAAGCTGAAACACAAAATCTTCTAATATCTAATTTTAGTTTCACACTACTGCTATTGACAGTGGGCTTTTGATGATTTATCAAACAACACTGCTATATAGCTATTATAATGAAAAGCCACAACAAATGAGCCAGGTATCCCCAAATCAACTGGATTATTCGAGAAAAAGTGCTCCTGCTGTAGAAAAAAGTTTGATCTAACCATTTAAGTAGGACCTTATTGTTGTGATGAAAATAAACAACAAACTGACCTTGTTATTGTTTTCTCTCTTGGTTCAGGAGGAAGACCAACAGTTAGTTGCTTCTGACGAACTAATAAATCAGTGACAGATTGTGAAAGTCCGTTAACTCGTTTCTTTAAAAGACCGGTGACCTAAATCAGAATAGTCCAGTTTATTTTTTCAGTAACAAAATTGAGAAAAAAGAGTGAACACACAGATTTACTGGTGAACGCAGGGGCGGACACCCGGGGGGGCGAGGGGGGGCGGTCGCCCCCCCAATAATTTCGCAAAAAAATTTAATACATGTTGTTTCCGCCTTACAAAATTATCATTTCCGAAAAGTGCGATAGTCAAGCGCAATTAAACGGTTAATAGTCACCGATATTATAACTGTTTTCTTACAATAATGTGGACCAGAGCGCCTTCGGAGCACCTCACATTTTCGTGAAACATGCGCGCCCGCACGGGTAATACTCCGTCTTCAAACGCACCGCCGATCACGCGCCACGGTTTTGCACAACTAATTCATTTTTGTACAATTTAATATGATTTTCTCATTGTCAAAATCTTTCAATAGTGTTATTGTTGGCACTTGCGAGAGAAGTGAAAGAGGCAAACTGTGTTTCATTACAACAATTAATTATTATTGCTAAAAAATTAACTAGATCTAAAGTTGTTATAAACAATTTTCACCGCTGGACTATCTTTTCACGTTATGGATTTCGTGCAAGGCCCAGCATAATTTGCGGGCAAAGATCAAAGCATTTACTATGTTGAAAAGCGGCAATATAAAATACTAAAAATAAAACTGTAAACAATATAGGTTTTGTTGAGGCCCGCGACAGTCTAAAAACGCTTTTCTAGGCATCGAAAATCGCAAAATTTCACAAATTATGTTTGCTTGACCTTTAAAAACATTTCGTCACTAAAATCGAAACCCGGTCAATTGTGAGCGGGATTTTCCTTTTTATCCATTACTTTTAAATTGACGTCGAAAATTTTTGTGTTAACATTAAACAAAGCTGACAACGCGACTTTTCCCCGGTTTGTGATGATATATAAGATAATTAAAGTATTTTCGATCACTTTTTATAATTATTCATGTATTTTTATTGTACTGAAATAACTTTTACTACGTGAGAATTGACAAAAAATTTATGGATTTTTCGAAAGGTTTTATCTTTAAAAATAATCGGAGTGACAACATTGCGATTGGTGCCAGTGTTACAAGTAAATCTCAAATTTATCGAATTCGCAAAATAGCAAAAATACGGATCAAAACAATATATAAACCGGCAGTTTACCACACATTTTTATGTCCGCGGATTGCCGTCGTGCGTTAGAATGGCTCTTGTTTTGTCGACTCAACCGTAGTTTAAATTGAAGACAATTAAAATAATAAATCAAGACATTTTGAATATGCCCGTATCGGTCTTTGATTGATTACTTTGCACAAGTGAAAAATCATTTTTCGTTGATAAAGTCGGCTCTTTTAACAAGTGGCGTAATCACGGCAACTGTTCCGCGTGGATTTCGAGGCGGTGAATTGGTATTTTTGATTTACTAGTATACTTTATAAATATTTTCATTGTATGAAGTAAAATTGTACTATATGGGATTTTATATCAGATAACGAGATTTTTGTAACGGCGATAACGAGTTCGGAAGATTGCAAAAATACGTATCAAAATTAAATACATCAGGCAGCTTATCTCATATTTTTATTTCCCCATATCGCCGTGGTACTTTAGTTTAGTAATATTTTTATTTTGACCTAAGAAGTCGCAACCGCGAGTTACGCTGCACACAATTAAATTAATATGTAAGGACATTTTAGAATCTCGTGGCTGTCATGGATCGACAGAAAAAACATTATACGCTTAAATAGGCGGCTCTTTTAACTAGCGCGTAATCGCGGTGCTTGTTGAAGACGGCAATGGGAAGTTCCGACCTCAAATTTGTTATTTTCTGTTTGTTAGCAAGAACCGTGGGCTAATTCTCGCGGAATTCAAGAAATTGGTTCAGTGAGGCGCAAGTTCCGTGTCCGAGCAAAGCAGCCTAGGTAACCGATATATGAGTAGCAAAATGACATGCTAATACTTAGAGAATGACATCGACAGGTTATTGTTACGTGACGATACACGGCGCGGTGTTTTTCGGTAGGCGATCCAAGTTCGCCCCCCCCAAAATTATGGAAAGTGTCCGCCCCTGTGTGAAGGGAAGCCGCGGGAAACCAAAACAGCTTATCATCTAATATCTGAATAAAATTTAAAAAATCGGAAATTTTAGTTTTCAGGATACTGTTATTGTTGGTAAGTTTTGCTTTGGTGGTTAAGTACCAACATCACCCATTAGAGGTTATAAAAGATAACTATCATTTCACTAGATGGCTTGTGGTATTCCTGCATTGGCAGGCTTACAAGAAATGGTACTCCCGTAGTATGTGTACCAGGTTAGGGATAGGCCATAATTTTATTCCGATTTTCCTTATTTTAGTTCTATTACGAGTTCGGAGACTCGTCTGTCTGTGTTATCCAAGTGAATATACCCCCTGCTCATAGGTTTCAGTCCCTTCACACAACTTGATGAACACAATTAGTTACGCCCATGTAGAGATGATTGAATTGATGAACTAATTAACTTTGTAACCATGTTTTATAGTATATTATACAGCTTACCTGTCTAACAACTAACCAGTTAGATTCCATTCCTGCTTTGTCATACAATTCTTCGACTAATTCAATGACGGGAGCAGGACCCCCTCCTAATCTTGTATCCCATTCTGGACCCCTAAAAAATAAAAATACAGACAAAAGTTTGAGATGCTAAATTAGCAATGATCCAGGACCCAGTTAGTGGTTGAAGTATGCCGATATTTTCCATATGTATTTTACTCTGAGCCAGTTTATCTTCAATCAGCTCTAGAATTCGAAAGATTGTATCTTCGAATGTACTGGTATAGTAGATCTTAGCCGAGCGGGAGTGATGGGATGAAGTGTTCCCATATACCATAAAAAAGTGCTCCCATGGAATGAAATAAAACGGAAAAATTTGGGGTGAAATATTGGGCGCCATGGGTCTCTAAATAGCCTTTTAGCGACTTCTTCCATTTACAAGTATTAAAAATTTTGAATTCGTTCGAGCCCGTAATTTTGAAAAAACTATTACTTTCCCAACAACAACAATTTAGCCAAATGATCCGCGATCTCTATCATAACATACTTATTGATATACAGATAATGCAATATATCAGCTTGTTCTTCTGTCTGTGCATCAGGAGACACCAGTTGTTTCAGAAGTGAATTTATATCTTGAGATCCACCGAGACTTTCATCTGAATGACTGGAAAAAGACAATGTTACTGTTATGGAAATACTTTAAAATACGGTATTTATTTGTGTATAACACGCCACATGGCGCTGTATTTATTACTTTGATTGAAAATTAGTATGAAATTTTTTTCACTTTTTCCCAGCTCAGAACAACATGCATTGTGCGAACCTTGATACTACAAGCAAACATGTCCGCAATCAGCATGTCAGAAACATGCTCTGAATAACAAGCGCACAAGTAATAACAATTGCGCAATTTTGTCTCCGAAGCAGCACATGCATTGTACAAACCTTGATACCGCGAGCGAACGTGGTTCGATCACAAGACGCCAGAGGTATGCTTGCAATACCAAGTGCACGAGGAATAACAATTGTGTCTATCGGGCAACAGCACAATATGCTATTTACTCGTGTATAATACGCGCCAGAGGTATGCTCGCAATAACAAGCGCACGAGGTATAACAATTGCGCAATTGCGTCTATCAGGCAACAGTACAATATGCTATTTACTCTTGTATAATAAGCATCCTTAATTTTTGATAAAAATCAGTATACTTTTGCGCATTAGGATACGGATTAGTGGCTTGTAAAGAATTGCCCAAAGAATTTTGCTTGAATGAAACAAGAAAGGATTGCTCAAATATATGGACATAAGTGACTGCCGCAATGTCACTAAAGTCCTAGACAAATAGTAAAAGATGACATATAATAGTGTTCCCTTGAACTAGAAAAAAAACGAAATTTTGTATGAATAAAATCAGGCCTGGTTTTAGAAAAGTGATGACCATCTAGTCAGGCAGAAGATACAGATGACAATTTCACAAAACAGGTGCATTTACAGGGTTCAACATGTTATTGTTGTTTTTGGTCCAACATGCTGGTGCTGCGAAATCTTGCAATGTTTGTGATCAACAAGCTTGAAGCAAGTGAGTTCAGGCCTCGTTGAGAACATGACGATTTTCGTAAATCAAAAAAGAAGCTTTATTACACTATATAGCAAGGTAGAAATGGTCTTGTCACCTTCGCGAGGGTTTTCAACCTAGTTTCCTCATTGGTATTAGTAATGAAATTGGCTTAATTTTTGGGTCGGAGATGTTCGAAAATGATAAAGCAATGCACAAATATGATCTCGCATTGGTACCAGTACGATAAGGCCTAGGTGTACGAGTTTGCTGGAAAGATTGGCAAGCAAGCAATTCAAAGACAGTTGATTGAGTTGAACAAACGGTTGACGGTTCAAAGACCTGCATATGTGGCATTCCCACAAGACAAAATAGGACTGTAAGCAAGATCAATGGTGAAATACATTCACAACAGGCATAAGTCAAAAGTAAGTTAATCAAAAATGTAAATAATTTAATATGGCACAAATCAAAGCTTGAATATCAGTCAGTAATAAGCACAGCCAAGATGAAAAATTTGAGAACAAGGATTAAGTGGGAAATAAGCAGTTGAGGCAAATTCAAATGTGTTGTTTTATCATAAACAACGCCACCCTTTATCATTCCACTTACCCAATATACTGGCCACCCCTCCTTTTGTTATACATGGTAGTACTGGTTTCAAAATCAGAACAAGACTTTCTGTGTTTTGCACTGCTTGATAAATATAGTGATTGTTACCCTGGCAACTAGTTGAATTAATTTATAATTGGATGATCCAATGATTGTTATTTCCACAATGGTTGTTGAGTCCAGATAATTTACATCCCAAACTTTCTAAATGAATCCTCAGAATCCAGATTAAAAATGAATTTTTATTGTCTGATACCAAACTTTAAGAGTTTGTTGAGAACTCTCAGTCAACCCAATGCTTTTTGTTATGTTGAATGTTTTTATGTTTGATTTGGTATGTTTTTATCCACATCATAGTAAAAACCATTTTTTTTCGAACCCCCCAAAATCTGTAGTTGGCAACAAAATTATAAATTGTCTGGAGCTGGAAGTTAAATGAAAGTAATCGGAGTTAAAATTTCCTCCAAAAATTAAAAAACATTCAATTGATTAAGCATTTTCGATCAACAATTAGAGCAGGCTTGTAAACACTAGAACTTTTATCATTGAAATTGGTTGTTTCAGAGTCCGTGCTTATTTTAGAAACTAGTATGCCTACTCACCTTGTGAAATCACTTTGGCTTCCAACAAGTTTCCCCAGAGCTTTGCGTCCGTGTCGTACAATATTCAAGTCATGCAGTGAGGACACGTCTGTTGAATTTTTAATAAAAAATACAGCTAGGAAATTCGTTAATTAAGAACGCTTTATCAAAAAAGGAATTCTAACTTGATAATTCAAATTGCAGAACTTCAATTCATATAACATAATTTTTAACAAGATTTTGCTAATACATAGTCCAACTTCATCATGTATCTTGTTACACCAACCAGTATTTAGTAACAGTAGTCTCAGTAGCTCCTCACTGGCCGTCCGTAACATCGCTTAGAGATGAATGAGTGTGTGACCTCGCTTTGAGCAAATTGACTCAAAAAAATTGAGAGGGAAAGAGCTACAAAGCCATGACCATATTTCACATAATGGAATTGTATGTAAATTAAAGCAGTTTACAGTTTACAAAACACACACAAATTTTCGAATGTTTCGAGACTATGTTAGTATAAAAGCTTGGTAATTAGATGTTATGAATTTAAAGCAAAGTTTGAAAAAAAAAACATGTAAGCCAGAATCGCTTTAATTTTTAGAATCATACTAAAAATATCTCCAATTATAGGGCATTGTTTGGTTTTGTTTACTTTTCAGGTTTAAATTTGATGAACAAGGAAGATAAATATTAAGATGTTTCAATATGTTAGTCTTCCAATGCGGGTTTACATCAAAATCTAAAATGACTCAATCAACAATGACCAGTATAATTTGAAAATGTTTGAGGAAGGGAGAGAGAACTAAGAAGATGAAATAAAATAGTGTCGAATTTTTTTTTGAAAAAACTGAAAATGTTGGTATAACATCTTGTTATATTATCGAAAAATCTATCAAGTACACAAGAACACTCAAATTCGCTTATATGATTGCAGCTCGGTAAATAGCCAATGTATAACATCGCAGAAGCTTTGACAACAACAGCACGTTGACTGCAATTATTGAAGCAAGCGTTAAAATTGAAAGAAGCTTTTTGATGCATATCTACTACTGCGACCAATTTAATTTCAAAAACAAAAATTTTTAATTCGAAGAATTAAATTTAAGTGTATCATGATAGGATTATGCACAGATGTGTTCAATATGGTAGCTAAAACAAGCTAATAATTCTCTACTGACATGTTAATATTAAATAATTTAGTAAAAAATTGGAAAATCACAAATTAAGGTAATAAAAAACTATATTCTATTTGCACGCCAAAATTATAATATCTTGATTAGTTGATTACTAAAGACAAAATTAGATGAGCAAACCAAATTAACTAGTGTATGGTTATTTGGTAACACCGTTACATTATATCATAATCAAACATGATTAGAGGCTAATTATTTTTAATTCTACAAGTTAAACATAACTACATAAATTTTCCAACGCTTACCAATCAGACAGCCTGTGCAGTGAAAAAATTATCATCATTAACAGATAAGTTATTTTGATTGATGAGAGTATGATCTATTACTACAAGCCAAGCTCGGTCGACGATACCTCAACAAAAATTTACAACTTGAAAACAATTTAATTTTTATGAGAAAAATTAAAAAAAAATAAAAAAAAAATTTTGAAGTGCTCGATTAGATTTATTTTTTTCAATATTTTGATGTTAATTTGCGTTCTGCAGCAAAAACAAACGAAGCAACAGAAATTGCAGATTTTTTTGTGACAAAGCAATGATGACAAATAAATGATTGCTTCACAACTACAAGCGAAACAATCGTGCTGTTTTTTTAATTCTTTTAAAATGATCAAAATACCTTTAAAATGAAACGTCAAATGATAGTTTTCTGAAAGCATGATGTAAAAAGAAAAAAATTCATGAGACAGAAAATTTTTTTTTACGTGTAAACCTCAAGCAATTCCTCGTATATGTGGTCACATACTCATACCAATTTAGGGTTTGAAATCATTTGTAAAAAAAAAAAATGTAATATTTCAAAATTTGAAAAACAAAAAAAATTATTTTTCACTGAACATACCGTAATCCATATTATTTTACATATAGTTTTTGGACAAGCAGTAATATTTCACCAATTATAACTTATTTTATAAATATCTAATATAGTTATTATCTTCGTTTTAAGCCTAGCATGAAAGCATTATGTCGGGTATTATTTCAAAATATCGAACGAAGGTATTATCTTCGTTTAAGCATGGCATGATCATAGGATTATGAGGTCACAATGCCCAAACTTGGTCACCAAGCCAAGACATGCACCAACATATTTTATTGTGTTATTTGTGACGTAAATACCTTCTTCTCCATCAGTTTCTCCAATTGCTTAATCCAAATAAAAATGTTTTATTTTTCATAGATTTTCCGATACAACAGAAAAAATATCTGTTCGTGAGTCAAAGGAATTGTCAAAATTATTTTGGAAGTCTAATAACGTGTGGTTAAATTAGAAGCATAGACAGTGTTTTTGAGGGGGCTAATTAAAAATGAAAATATTTGCTAGATTTGATCTTGTCCGCCTCATTTCGGTGAATTCAAAACGGAAATCCTGCATCCTTTCCAAATCTTGATTAAGCATTCGAAAGCATGTTTAAAACTTTATTTATATCAATATTTACGTTCCATCCACGTTTTTTCCAACGTGTTTTTGGACTAAAACATACTTTTGCCTCACTAGGCGGGGCTCGAGACTTGGTAAATTCTAAAAAAGGGGCGCGACTTGAAAAGTTTGATAACCACTGCTTTAGACAACAGAGGCTAAAACTGGTGAATTTATTATGGATAAATATAAATATCAATACTATCAAAACAACAAAATTCAATTGTAGCTTATTTTGGATACAGCGCATTATAGGATGAAAAATTGTTCCGCTATAAGTGAGTAATGCTGGTCTACATATAATTATTTAATTATCTAATTATTTTAATCAGTATTTATTACTATAAAAAATATGGTTTAGATTTAATTAAATTTTTTTTGTATGCGAGAATGAAAAAAAATCTATATAGCATACTCACTCGTTAAATCAGCTGATTTTCTCCTCAAATTCGAGTTCATTCTTGAGAGTCTTCTTTGCTTTTCATTTATTGATGTCTGAGAGGAGGCAGTATCCAGTTTTCTCATTCTTGGGACGGACGGTTTTAATAGTGAATCAAGGTATTGTGAAAACTCATCACCTAGAAATAAATGTTTTCAAAAAATATAGTTTGAATCTAAAAATAAAATCATGAATATTTGAATTTATTCTAAAAAATGATCTACTTTGCAAAAGGTTCAATATGAAATTTAAAAAAAAAAGTTTGGAAACAAGGCAGTAAGAGAAGTACTTTATGTTACGGACCACTGTAAAGCACACTTTTAATCTTCATTATTCTTAAAAATCGATCGTGTGCCCTATTAGTCGAGGCAGCTAATGGATCAGATAGTGCTTTATTGCCTACACCAAAAACCATTGCCAGTACAATTGTTTTATGGACGAATCACATTTTACGATTTCACAAAATGAAATACAATAACCATAAAAAATATTGAGTTTCGTACGGTAACTTGATACTCTTTAAAAATCATTGCGTCTAATACCGATGCGCTTTATGTTCGATCGACCTTGGAAGTCTCCCCCCTCTTCTGTATATATTTTTATGCTTTTTGTTGTTTGCTTATACTTACTGTATTATGTACTTGTATCAGAAATAAATTATTATCTATCTATCTTATGTATAGACAAAAACTCCAACCTAAGAAATTTCACAGTCTGTGGGATGTGCCGTATGGTCCGGTAATAGAGTGAGTTAAAAACATATCAGTCATATTTACCTTGTAAATTACCGACATTTAAAAAATTGAGTTCGGTAATACATGATGTGCTGAGCATCGACTCAATTCTTCCCATAACAACTCTGTAAATTGATAGAAATGTATATTATAGTCAAAAGTACCGCATCCAAATTATCAAAATTTATTTGAAAGCTGATCATTATGATTCCCGGTTGGCAGTCCATGTTAGATATGGGGATGTTAGATAGTTGACCAAATATTTGTTTCAGATGAATGGACTTGATGGTGGAACTCCACTTACCTGACTCCATTTAAATATCCATTTGATATTTTCTTTATTGTTGATATCAAGTGAGGACTTATATTTTCACCAGTTTGATCTGAATTAACAAAAAATCAAAGTTATGAAGACCTACGAATCCTATTAGTTAGGAAAAAAATCATATTTCTCAGCAAAAAACAGACTATTAGATTTGAATTTTCATTATTTAAAAAAGTTGAAACCACTAGGAGGCTATTACCTATTAGTTTCAATTTTTTAAAATTTTCTCAGAGTCTCATGGGACGCCATATTTCCCGAAAAGTTTCGCTGTTATATTTAAATTAAAAGGAAACACTTTTCATTCCATCGAGCTTGACCGCCTATATCACTCTTGGCTGCCAATCTTTTCAGCAAAGCTAGGTACTCTAAGGACATAACACACTAGTATCATTGCGCAACCTTCTTGGTTTTACTAGCACTGATGTATCGTGTAGGGTTGTGGAGTTGAGGAAATTTTACAATTAACTAAGACTCTCGAATCCAGGCCGAAAAAATTTTGGTGCCGGTGTCGCGCAACAGCTCTGAGAAAACTTCACCAAAAACTTTTTGGTGTGCAAGCCTTTTTCAATAGATTATAAAGAATGCTTAGTAAGCGCTTAATGATACTGAATTTTCGTAGAAGAATTTTGACCATATATCACCATTAAAAAATTCGTCGCTTTTCAATTTGCGCCACCATGTGACGACTTGAAAAAATGTGCGTCAATTTGAACCTGTGTATTTTCGATTCTTACCTATATTCCGAGAAGTTATGGGAATAGTAATTGTTGGTCGTCCTGGCATGGTCCAATGATTAGATAAATATTGCAGTTCTGTCATCAACATATCAATAGACATATCTGTATCTAAAGACATGTAGAAATCTTCTTGATCTAAAAACTGGAAGAAAAAGATATCAAAAAATTATGTGTAAAAGCGTTAATGATCTAGGTACATTATGAACAATATCGCCCCCAGGAGTTTTCCTTGGGGCATTCCTTACTGTTAGTAGTCCAAAATTTTAGGGAAATAAAAATTTAATTTTCCAAATGGTAAAATATTATTTTGATTCCAATTCCGATGTCCAAGACTTTAAATATTCCTTATTTTGGCCCAAAAAAAAATATGATACAAATTTATATACCTACAAGCCCTTTTGTACAGCAATACCCAAATATATCAAATATTCAAAATAAGACCTTTGACTACTTATCTGCATAATATTCAAAAACACCAGAATATTGCCACTTACTTGAGGAGTGAATATAAAGGTGTTTCCCCTGATGACATATAGTTTACTTGTGCCAAGGACTCCAATCCTATTTGTAGGTCGACCTGATACTTTCAACTTTGCATTTTTACCAAGTTGAGAATAGATTATTGATAATGCTTTTGCGGGTTGTATTCTAGAAAAATGTTAATTAGTAATAGTGATTATAGAGATTATTGAAAGTGTTCTCTATCAATATGAGGGTTTATAGTATATAGAAGTAACACACTAAGGAATGTCTAAAATGAATCTAATACGAACAGTTAGCATTTGAAATTTTTTCATTATCATGTTTTGACATCAGAAAGTCATACATACTATAGACTTCATTCAACTTTTGAATGTTATGAAAAACAGAACCACGATTTGCAAACTATTCTGCAAATTCAATTTCTATTAATTTACACAATAATTTCTGCAAATTTTCATGTTCAGATAATCCCAATTCAAAATATATTCAATATTCCGCATCCGAAAATGGGTACTTCTGAAGTACGTGAACCAGGATGGCGGACACCGGAACGTAGTATGTGTAACAGGTTAGGGTCAAGCCATAATTTTATTCCAATTTTCCTGATTTTAGTTCTATTATGAGTCCAAGTGACTCCCGTAGTATTTGTACCTGAAATTATGGTCTAACCCTAACTTGGTACGCATACTACGTTCTGGTGTCCGCCATCTTGGTTCACATACTTCGGGAGCACCCAAAATGTATTCGGAATTGTAGGACATTTAATATTGCCCCTATTTTTTATTTTTTTGTCTAATTTTTTAAAATGTGTAAATAAACGATGAATAGTAGTACTACAAACAAATTTATTTGCGGAACATTGAATACAAAAATAAGATAAATAAAAATAATTAAAAAATTATTTCACAAAATGTTGATTTTGTCGCATGACAGTTAAATCAAAAATATTTAAAATTAAAAAAGTACGGCTATGGAGTCAAATCTAACATGCTTTTATCAACATCGGGAATTTTTTTAATTTACTGGGGTTGAAGTGGTAATTTCAGGCCTCTAATGTGGGAATTTACCTGATTGGTGCAATCTCATCCATGGTTTCAGTTTCAATATTATGCATCAGAAGTTTTTGTTGAATATCTTTATTTTCAGACAATAAAATACCTGGATATAAAAAAATGATCAATGTATATATCATGTATAATGTTGAGGACATTCGAGTCTTTAACTCGACTCGAGTTCTTTTTTCCAAAAACTCAAATCTGCTTAAGTCATCTAAATAAACAAAATCACTCGCCCTAAACTCAACTAACAGCCAGAGAGAATTAACTTGACTCAAAGATAATTTAAAGCAAGTCTTTATAATTGGAAAAAAAATGCAGTGAAATATAATCTAGACTAAGTAGGATTGCATCAAAGATTTAAAACCTATAGCCAGAACTATAGGCAGGGATAAAAAGCCTTCCCATTATAACTTTAATTGAAAAAAGTTTAATAATTGTAAAAGAAACTAGTCATTCAAAATATGATGAATTATAAAAATTAAAATTTCATTAACTTGTTAATTCCTACCAAATAACACAGCACAAATTGATTCTATATACCGATAATCATTAGTGCAAGACTCAAGTTCAACTAATTTTTTCTAGCCATATGATTATGACTTCCTCCTTAGAATCAGAAGAAACTTTTCTGCACAAATATGTAATACCTTGAACCACGAGATCTGGTTTTGGAGAAATAACAAATCTTCTGTTGAGAGGATCAATTTCCCCAGGTACAAGGAACCCATCCCAGAGCAGTTCCCCGAGTATATAGAGTGAGTGTCCCCACAAATGAGGAATCTTACCCATGGGAACTCGTATTTGACTATGAGGATCACTCTTTTCTAATTCCACCTAGAAATAAAAACGACCAGTAAATTTTTCTAGTATTTATGCAAATAAGTTGAGTGAAAAAAGGGACATTTTGTTCTGTTAGATACTTTCGCATGTTACGCGATATCTCACGAAAGCGAGGTTGAAACTGCTTTAAATTTTGCATGTGCATTTATCATATCTTAAACCAGAAGTCTATTGATTTTGGATGAATTATGTCGTATAATTAACGAGTTATTAATGAATTAGTGATGGGACACGCGGTGTCGCTATTGAGTCAGAGCGAAGAATACACGCCTCTAGATCGATAAGTCGGCGGTCTCTGATCGCCATCTCGTTTATTTATTCAATCAATACATCATTAACTTATTTTACAACAACACAACTCGTTCATAATAATAAACTCTTACCAGCATCAAAAATAGTCGACCTCGGATTGAAAAATACAAAACATTGAATGTTCTTACTGTGGCATAACTTACCAAATCAGCAGGAACTGTATATAATTCAGGAATAACTTTCACTCCGTCATCGATGACTAATATTTCTTCTAATGCTTCTCTGTATTCTATAACTTGTTGTTGATTGTTAAAAAATATTCCGTCTAATATTAAATATGTCCAAAATAATGGCCATTCACATTCAATATCTTCAAATACCTTTTAGACAGAATTAAAGCAAGAATTAACAAATATATGAGATATTTCAATATTACAGAAGTTTTGACAACATGTCAAGTCAGTTTAATAAAATTTAGATTTAAGAAAAATAAATTTAGTAAAGTCGTGGAATGTAGACTAATAAAACACATTTTATACAATCATACCAATTACATGTATTTCCTATATTGAGTATACAAAATGGATTTATCAGGCATTCAAATCATGACTATAAACCAGGTTAACAAAATCGTTAATTGAGGTCTAAAACTAAATATACGACTAAAATAAGAATGGTTGATAACTCTCGATAATCTGAAAATTTTTTACCTTTAGTTCTGCAAGCTCATAATGTAGACGGTTTGGATCTTCAAGTGCAGTTTTATAACCATCTCTCAGAAATCTACAACAACCATAATTACCCTGCAAAAATAGGATATTTTACTGAACAAGTGCACTTTATTGGTCAAACTGGGCATCTTCCTGCTTGGGAAGTTTTTTTAAACACCGTAATTAGGGCATTATTTCAGACATAGTTTTAAAATACGAGTTAGACAGGATAGGATTTTCATATTTATCCCGAGGGAGATGGAAGCAGATAAAATGGCTCAATCCTATGGTTAACCTCTCTCCGGTTATCAGTCCATATCAGTCCACCATACAGCGAAATAAAATCAGTTCGAAGTAAAACCAGGCATTAAATTCTTATTGTTCCCCTTTCAAATTGAAATCACTTGAATTTTGGATAATTCGTTATAACCAACTCACTATTGTTAGACAAAAGTTCTGACTTCTAAAGGTGGTAATTGGAGTTTATTATTAGACAGAAAAATATCCACTCAGAAGAATTAATACTGTTTATATCAATCATATTACTGACCTGTAACTTTTTAACAACAGTCTCTCTCGTCAGCTTAACTAAATTTTCATCAGAAACAGCAAATGCAGGATATCCAATCACACTAAGAAGACTTGCATCAACTTCCTAAGAAAATAACGAAATATCGGTCAGAGACCGAAGACTTATCGATCGAAAGTTAGGGGATCCCCCAAAAAGCACTCTTACTCCATAGTGACATCTTGTGTCCCATCACTAATTAATTATTAACTCGCTAATTATACGACATAATTCATCTAAAATCAATAAGCTTTTGATCCAAATATGATGAATGCATATGCAAAATTTGGAGCGGATTCATCCTCGCTTTCGTGAGATATAGCGTATATCTAACAGACAAACAAACAAACAGACAAATACCTATCAACATACATACTTACCGATCTTAAAATCGATAAGTAATGATATAAATGAAACTTTCTCAGTAACAAATAAATAGAAATGAATTCACCGAATATATACAGTTACAATAGAACAGTAGGCTATCCAGTATTGTTTTAATATTCATTATTATCTTGTTTTATTTTATTTAAGCAGTGTTTCCTGATCTATATTGATACATCACACTTGTAGGTATTTATGGTGAGATAACCATCGGCAGACAGGTTTGGACTGAGAATTTAGTATAGGATAGGGTTAAGATATTTATCCTGGGAAAAAGGAAAGTCGTTAGGATGACTCAAACATATAGTGCAAACCACAACATCTCGTCCGGTTACATGTCCATATCAGGTATGGGTCTTACTATTCAATTCTTTTTTTCAGATACTTGGACACGATGTTGAGGGAGCTGTAACCGACCAGCGGTTACAAAATGTGCACTAAAGAAACAGTTTCAGACCTCCACAGAAACTGAGAGAACTTGCCTTAGAATTGGATTCTCTGGGTAACATACTGTATAAAATGGCAAGATTTTGCGCTTTTTCATCTTGTGTTACATGAATAACAGACTGAGGTCCTCCTCTTCCTCCAAATAAATCAAGTTCATCAATTGCCTCCAGTGCTGCCTGAAAATATTATGATGGAGTTAGATGAGCCAGTTTCAAAACTGAATTTCAACTTAGAACTAAATTTTGGGCGCTTCAAAAGTGTGTGTATCAATATGGCGGTGACTAATTTTGTTCGTCTACTTTACATCGAGTTGTGTAAAGGGACTGAAACCTATGGGCAGGGGGTATATTCACTTGGCTAACACAGACAGTCCTCGGACTCGTAATAGAACTAAAATAACGAAAATCGGAATAAAAATATGGCCTAACCCTAACATGGTACATACACTACAGAAACGAAAGTACCAAATTTTGTACTGCTTTCCTTTGAATACTAATTTTTATGTTCTTTATTAAATAAAAGTAATATATTATAATAAATATTTGTTTGACGAAACTTGTGGATTCTTGTGCAGAGACTTTTTCAAGTAGATTCCAGTTTTTACAGTCAACAATTTTGAAAGCAACAATTATTTTAGAATTTTTACCTTACACATGCCGACGGAACTTGCATTTAGTTCTGGAACACCATGATTCGTTTTGTCACCTCTTTCCCATATACCGTAATCAGGTGTCCGGTACGCAGACTCGATATAGAACACCAAATTTTGCACAAACGAGACTTCATCCAAGCTGTATATTATTGACATTCCTAAAAAAATAAAATTTTTGCTACACGTTTTCCATGGCAATGTATAAACAGGTATGGGCCATGCAAGATCAATGCCCCCACACTATGGTTCTCAAACTTCCCTGATTCATGGCCTTCTCACAAAGACTTTCAACACTTGTCGGAACCCCCCCCCCCCCCCCGAATTATTATGGCCCCCTGGGGAGCTTGAGGATCTAATTTGAAACACCCTGGTATGAACCATGTTTGGTCGGGCATGATTTAGAACTCAGTCAAACCTGAAGCTGTCATTTGAGATAGCATAAGCAAATAGAGTCCCACTGCATCGAGTTGCAAATGCCCCCAGTCCTTATCTCCAACTACTGTATTACAATTATGTCGATTGTATTTTGCATGGAGAGCATCATTGGTTGATTGAGTAGTCTGAAAATCAAAAAATAAACATCAAACTTGCTGGGTCCCTGGTTCAGGGGGTTATCTTGTTCATTCTAGGTGGGTGGGGCAGGGTGGGGGGGTCATCCAGTTACCAGCCTGGTAAAAAATATTTATCAAGTAATTAGTCTGTACGCATAGGTATTTAACCCACCCCGTGCGATCACGACAAGTTTCGCAATCCTCTCACACACTCACCTTAAATCTTTCCAATTTGTCAACTTGTCTCATCATACAGTTGAGTAAAGATCTCATACATTTTACAACACTCTGAAAAAGCAAAAAAAAAAATTCCACTTTTGAAATCAAACAATTTTTTTTGTTTTGGATTATTGCACATCCTGATGCCTCCATGGTGACACCCGCGACCAAAAAATTCTAGTCAAAAATACTACGGTACTCGAATGAAAATTCGGTGCGCAAACATCCGAGTATGCCGTCGGGTGAGATGACGTCACGCAAACCACACATCTCGGTCGCCTCTCAACCATTCAACAAGATGCTCAAATATATAGACATCAAGGCCAAATGTGTTGCAGTGTTCATGGCTGCACGAAAAAGTCCTTGAAGGTAGCTCTATGAACAAAACATAACTTGCAGGCCTAAACGCTAGTCTCAGGCGCTATTCTTATGAAAGACGCTAGATATTACAATGACAAAAAAAAGTTGGATGTGTGAGATTGTGCAGCTTGTTTTGCAAATTATATTCAGGCGTGGATAATACGTGGTGTGGTGAGTTGTGGTATTTATCTTAGCCAACGTTTCGTTATTTCTTTATACTTTTCTTAATTTATGTGCATAAAAATTAGTCGTAATTCCAGCAGGCACCAGTGGGCTGGATAAAACACTTCGGTAGGCCGGATTCGGCCCGTGGGGTCATAATTTCCCCACCCCTGCTTCAAGTCAGTTAGAGTAAATCAGTGAGTGAGTTTAACTGGCTGTCAGTTGACGAAGAGTTGATTCATTACATTTAGATGACTCTTTTTGATAAATTGTGATTCGAGTCCATCTCATGTAGAGTGAAAGACTCGAGTCTCCCTCTTTTAAAACTGAGTAAATACCTCACCTGTCCAAGTTCATATGCTTTGGCTTTGTCTTCATCTAAATCAGCATGTTTCTTGTACGCAAGAGATAAACCCCATACTGACTGTATGCAATATAGATTATCACGAACCCATGCATGTGGTTCATCTTTCCCAGCTGGAAATAGACCAGTGACTGGATCCTGGAAGATAATAGAAAAGTGCACATTGTACTAAGAGTTAGAAATATTGCATCATTGATTATTCTGCTCTGGTTCGTAAATTGAAATTCTGTGAGAGAATAGTGCTGAACTCGTCGTCGTCCTCATGTCGTTCACGTAACCGCTGGTCATTTACAGCTTTCTTTGCCATCAAGACAATCAAAATTAATAACTGGTTAACTATTTCTATAGTAAACATAGACTTGTAACTGGATGAGAGGCTGTGACCCACTATGTGATCAAGTCATCTTATCAACTTTCCTTTCCCCAAGATAAATATGTAAGTTTACACTTATGGAATTTGAACATAAAAAGGGGGTTGTAATGGAATAAGATTCACAAGAAATAGAACTAGCAAAAAAAATTTTTGCAAAGTTTTATGTGCGGATTTGACTCCAAATAAGGCTATGTAAAGGCAGCCACGGCAAGATAAAGGGTACTATATATTATGAAAATTGAAATCTTTCTGGTGCGAACATACCAAGCAAATTTGTTGCACACTGGATGATGTAGGGGGCATTGATTCTTGACTTTATTTATTTAATACTGGCCAGCGTGTTCCGAATGCAATGCAATGAAACAAATCAGGGTCTAGTACGGTACATTAGTACTACAAAATTACATCACTACAACGTCACAATCACTTCAAAGTGCTTGACAAAGTATATCTACTATCGCCCAAAATGGCATCTGTGCCGATGATAACGAGCTCACTAATGTCAGCGATGTCATATCGAGATCGCTGTGACAAGAAACCAAGTGAATAGCTTGATCGATTTTGGATGATCGCCTGCACATTTCGGATGACCATCCGTATACTTTGGAGGGCCTCATTACGAAGGACCTTTTTTGGGGTAATCAAGTGATAAGTCCACATAAATAATCCAATCCAGTAATATGCATAAAATAAGTGAAATAACAATTTGTCTGTCCAGTAAGTAATGCAGAAAGGTAGTTTTGAACCGAGCATACTTCTACCATTCGATTTACTGATTTAGACAAGTTAAGATCAGGTTTGCAGCCATAGGAGCGCAGGGACTATATGTCATACAGGCATATGAAGTGCGTTCACTATATTAGTTTGCACTAGCCTATTGCTTCCGCGATTTTTATGATTTAATGAAGAACAAAAAACACTGACCTGAAATTTCAATATCGTCTTCTGAATAAGTCGAGCATAATTATCAAGCTTCACTCCAGAGTTACTTCGACTCCTCATGGCTAGATTTATAAATGATTGTTGTTTAGTTTTGCTTTTACTGTTTGAAAGATTACAACATACAGCAATTCACCATTTAATATCCTGCGCTCCGTTTATCAGTTTGCCGCTGGAACAGACAGCGATCGTGCAAATACTGGACAGGCAACTCTATTCGATTTTGGGCTCTGCTATTTTCTTCCCAGAACATTTACGTAACAAAAGTTATTCCAGGTCAACTATCGGGTGATCGACAAAACAAGCAAAGGGTTTGCACACAAGGGCGAGCCAAACTTTTTTGCTGCCTGGGGCGACATTCTAATAATGATGCCCCTTATCCCTAACTTCACAAATAATTCGGGGGATAAACAGATTGTAGGTATCGTTATACACGAGAATAAATAAATGGACCTTTCCCCGACTTTTAACCCTCGAAAAATTCTTCCTATACTTTACCACTGCTTTGCGAGTCGGCACCTGTAAAATGGGGTACCGGTATTTGTTTCAAATCATCATTATGATTGATCACATCATTGATACTTAAGTCATCAATGATCACATACAACAATCTGTTTTTTAAAACTACCGGTACAGTATTTTAGCCTAGTCTACCACAGCTATTTCTAAACTAATTTTTATTACTGCAATTAAATTGAAACTCCTAGGAAGAAAGAGTGATCATTGAATTATCTGATATATATTTAGGTTTCCGAAACACAATTGAAAACTAACGAATAGAGTTGAAAAACGCGGAAACGAGGTAATGTTTACGACCACGCTTGAAAATATGTCTGAGCGTAGTATATATTTACGGTTTGAGTGAGAAAAGTGTCTGAGCGCATGCTTAAAGGGAACATTGTTACGTCACTCTTTGCATCTTGTTGATTGGCCAATGTCACGAAGTAAACAAGGAAGTTGATGCTCGGGGGAGGGGCCATTAAAGGTCAAGTAAGATAGAAATCTCAGTTAGTCCCACAAGACTAAACACATAATTTAGCTTTCAATTAAATAGAAATACACCAAGAAAAACATGTGTAAGTAATAACGCCAACTCTACAGCTTGGTCCTGCTGCCCCTTTCGCCCCTCTTTAGGCACGCCACTGATTGCACATAATTCAGTTTTAATAGGCGAAAAACCTAACGATACCTGTTTTGATAAAAAAATATTCCCTAATTGGACAAACTCCGCAGATATTTGTGTGTACTCAAAAATAAAAACCACATTCGATGTATGTTTTCTCGAGAATAAACTTCCTTGTTTATTTCCGTATCATTAGTTAATCACCAAGATGCCAAATATAATGTATCGGCAATACCGCTATTTCTGATTCGCGTGATGAATTGATCAAAAACACAAACATAGACGATATGGACATATATATGAAAAAAATGTAATTCTCGTGATTTTACTGTGGTGCATTTCTTATGAAATAAAATGTCTTAGTTGATTGTGTTATCTTGGATCATCCCTGGGAGCATTTTTTTTTGTATATTCCCGCAATACGACGCTTACTCATGTCTTTTGCTCCGAACAAGGCTAGATAAAAGCAGTTACCAATATCTTAACCAATCTCTCTACAGACTTCGCTGTTGAAGTTATCCAAGCTATATAAGCGAACATTTAGATCTATCTCTGTAGGTTCATCTGGAGAAAGGATTATTGATAGCAAGCCATGAAACGTCCGGTATTGAGTAAATCGTTCAAGAATAGTGGAAAATGGTGTTGAAAAAGACATAAGCCACAAAATTGCATTTGAAAAAAAAACAGTTTTAGCCTCCCCATACACGTTTGCATGCCTGGGGCGATGCTCAATACGTCTCTGCCTGATTCACATGATCTCCCAACAAAATACAACCATTGACAGACGAAGCACTGATATATTTACATATACTGTTGAGGCAATGACTTAATTACAATTGAGATGAAATACAATAATCATGTGTTAATTGAGAAGAATTTCCAACATTGAAAAAACCATTCAAATCGCATTGATTGTTTGGGCTATGGAGTTTTACATGTTTTTGGGGTGTCAACGCTAATATTAACAATTCCAATGGTGCGAAATTCTGAATTGATTTTCTCAAAGCAAAAATTTTTTCAAACCCGGAATTGGTTGAAAATTTTCTCTGGCCGCACATGCTCGCCTGCACTATCCTTTTCAGGCTGGGATAATTTACTGTATTTACTTCTACCATCAATTTTATGAAATTTAACAACAATAAACCCAATTCAGAAAGTATTTTTCTCAAAGGACATGATCATTGTAAACAAAAAAATTATGATGAGATACAATATTAACAACAAAAAACCTGGTAAGCCCTGGAATGCAAATTTAGTTTCTATCTTTGGGAGAGGAGATGAATAACGGCACAAATAAATATGATCCCATTGAAAGGTAAAAGGACCGGCAGATGCCATACCATGTTTTGCCAGAGCATATACACTCATAACACTTTCTGATAATTTTAAGTCACTTTCGAAGCACATCTAGGTATTTTTATGGAAGAGCACGGGATAGGAGGATTGAGATTCTTTGAAAAGGGGGCCACGGATACTTAACTACCCATGTTGAAATGAAATATCAATCAAATTTGAAAGATGGAACCAATACAGAGACCCACCATCACCCAAATAGACCCAGAATTCGATTTTTTTGCGCAAAATATGCAAGCACATCAGTGTTGTCTGCTACTGTCAATTATTTTTTTTAAATATTTTTTTTATTATTTTACTTTTTTGGTCGTGCCAAGTGGGTCCTGATGAAAAAAGTCAGAAGAACACCGATTTAAACAATACATCAAAATTAACTGTCTATGTATCATGTATCTTAATATTAGTTCTATTTTGGGCAATCAAAAAAAGCCAAATAATATTTAACCAACAATTTTTAATTCTTCCTGTTATGACTAATCCACATCCGATGGTATTACGTATTTCCATTAGATTCGTACCAATGATAAAATCAAATTGGATTATATAAAAAAGAATTCGGGAATGAGTTTCCCTGTCAGCTAGAGTTTAAGGAGTGTATAGTAATATTAATTTGTTTAATATTTTGGATACTAACGAGCCCAAATACAGAAACTGTATAATAATATCGCAAAACTATCCTAAATTTAGGATTCATTTGGAAAGCAAACAATCGAACACGACTGAATCTGAAAACTCATTAAATGGATATTTCAATATTAATCAGTATTGATTAATATACAAAATAATCAAAATATTGCTTGTATATTTGCAAAATATTGCAAAAATACAAAATATATACAGAATATTGATACAGTATAATCAACTACAAAGATAGGTGCGAATGTACTACCTAAAAATCCCATAACACCATAGTTATATTTGGTAAAAATGCTTGTTTTTTTCCAATACCCAATACCACACATGGGGCCCATTATGGTGTTATATATGATTTCTTAACAAGCAATTTAATTTATCTTTTCAGTATGTGACGAATTTTCTAATAATAAGCATAATAAGACAACGCTTTAAAATAGGAAAGTTAAATTTTCTATGCAAATTTTTGACAAATAATTGTTTTTCCCCAATTTAAATACTAAAAATGACAATAAATAGCCATCGATGAAACATGCTTCCGAGACTAATTCCATTTAAGCTCCACAATGTAGTTTTTAATGGTTTACATAAATGTTATTTTATTTACAACAAACAAGCAGAAAAAATGATAGAGATGTGAGCATTTAAACAAAACAGCGTCAAAGTTCATCTGGTAGAGTTGGCGATGGCATCCTACTTTTCATACTTAGCGACAATGTCCATCAGCCTTTGCAGTTCAACCCTGAATGAAATCAAACAACAATTTTCATTATAAACAAAGTCTTTACCTATTTATCCCAGGGGAGAGGAAAGCATGGACTAGATGACGGAGGAAGCCGTAAGTGAACCACACTACAGCGGCAAGGAGTCCAGCAATCCTCCGCACAGAACTATCCCCGCATGGGATTCGAACCTACAAACCCAAGCAAGGTAATCAGAGGTGCAGTGCCGAGCGTATTCCTAACGCTTAGCGTGATGCGCCACATCGCCGAGGTGATTTTATTTGACGATGCTAATTTATACGACGTTGGATATGAGCAAGGCTCTGCACTCCCGTAGTATGTGCAACAAGATGGCGGACACCGGATCGTACCTAGTATGTGTATCAGGTTAGGGTTAGGACATTATTTCAGGTACAAATACTACAGGAGTCACTTGGCTAGACCCTGATCTTGTAATATAACTAAAATAAGAAAAATTGGAATAAAATTATGGCCTAACCCTAACCTGGTACACATACTATGTCCAGGTGTCCGCCATTTAGTTGCACATACTAGGAGAGCTCCCAAGGCTCTGCGCAAGCAGCCAATGCTAGTCTGTGAAACCGCAATCTTTCCGGTTTAATAACATTGCCTAGCTGATTTATGATATCCAGGCCAGATAGCGACAGTCATATTGGCGACATAATCAAGTGAGCGACTGACATGATAGCGACTTAACTCGTGTTAGGGAGCTCTCTACACACGTATGCACGCACAAACAGGCAAACACTGCGTAGTGAAAAGTTGAAACCAAAGGGGACTTCATAACAACATTTTATTTGGACTAACCCTAACCCCATCATAACAATCGCTGTTTTAATGCTAACGCCATTATGACTGTCGCTGTTTTGACAGTTGCTCACTTGATTACGTCGCTGTTATGAAGTCGCCATTATGACAGTCGCTCACTTGATTACGTCGCCATCATGACAGTCGCTGTTCTAACAGTAGCTATTTGGAACCCGAGCCATAATTTATTACACCCTGGGCGAGGCGGTAGACGTGGAAATCGAACTCAAGATTTTATTCTGCGATGCCATCATATTCAAGTCTTAACGATTTAAGCACTAGGCTACCCCATCACACATGAATTCTACCATATGAATTGGCTTGAAGAAGTGAAATGACTTGCGACCAATTAACCGCCACTGAGACCTAACCCAGTGACTCACTCAAGAAGGAGAGGTCGGATAAGACGCCTTGATCTTATAATGGACCACGGCTTCTTGTCTGATTTGCAGTCCAAGTCTGGTATGGGAATACATATTCAGTTATTAGATTCAGATGCATGCATGCTTTGTTCGCTATGACAGTGATATCATTCTGTGATTGGTTGTCATACTCGTGATCGCTTGCGTGTTTACGCTATGACAGGATTTTGACATACTTCTTGCTGTTATTATTAAAAGTAAAACATAAAAATATTGGTTATCATTTTCATTAATAATTCTCTTTCGCAACCATTTGTTGTGATAGGTGTGTACAGCGTGTTACGATTTGTAGGGTCGGCTTATATGTGAATTTTTTTAATTCACCGTTTTAGGGGGGTCGGCATATATACCACCCTACAACGACGAGAATCCCAGCATTCCCCATGGACATAATTATCTCTCAAATCTGCGCAGGTAATCAGAGGTGCGATGGCAAGTAGTGCACCAACTACATCATATCATATGAGGATGTACCTGAGCGCTTTCACTTCGCCATGCAAATTGGAATTTTCTTTTTCCAAGAACTTGGTCCTCATCGCAATTTGGTTTTCTTTGATACGCCTCGCTTCACGAGAACGCTTCGCAGCAACATTGTTCTTCACCCTCTTCTGCCAATACTTCTCATCCTGAATAATGACAAAGAATAAAAAATTATTGACAATCTGAAAATTGAAAATGTGGGGAATATAGATTGTTTCGAGTAGGGATGGGCAATACAGAATTCCAAAGTATTTGAATCCAAAAGGATCTGATAACAGAATTCGGTTTCTGCCTCTTCGGCGCCGCAAGTCAATTTTTGTTTTTCGGATTTCTAATTAATTATTCAGTGACGAGCGTTCTCTCGTTCGATTATACTTGTGTTTTATCGCAAAGAACGCAAAACGAGGCGTTTTGTTACATATATTTTGCACTCTCTCATTAAAATACAAATTTTTCGGAATTCAAGTCACCGATGAAACATTCCTATTGCCCAAGCTCGACAGACGCTTGGCAGAGAGTCAGGCGGTATTTTAGTCGACGATAGATTAAAAACATGTGGTGAAGACCGGCCTAACTTTTGGACGTTTCGGTACCTAACTATAAATATCGGTGGACATTATGCAAAGCGTATCACCAAGTCTTAGTAGATATATAACGATAATTTGTCTACAAATGTTATTTTACAAGACTTTCTCGAAGAAAATAAACATGCTGACATATTTGATTATAACTCATAGTCGCTAAATTTATTTTACACCATTAATAAACGCTTCCTGCACAATAAAATGTTGGTGTTACGATCATGTAAATGACAAATGTGTCTATAACATTATTCTTTGATTCAATTTTTATTCAACACATATTTCACTTCTTTTTCTGCTTTGAATAAGCATGGCTGATATGGAAGCAGCTATCATTTTTGGAATGACCGAGTTTTTTTTTTCAATATATTTTTTTGAGTTTCACTCTTTCATCTGTTATACATTATAGGCGTACGTCATTTATTTTACTACGATGAAGCCAAGACGAATATATATAATGAATATACCTCCCAAGGAAATGTCAAAATTAATTACTAGAAGCGTGTTCCAAATTAAAAGGCTTACCTAAATCTCCATCTACGCTCACATAAGAATTATTGATTGCCATCACATACATTAAATGAGTAATGACCATACAGACCATCTCGAAATTAGCTGTTTTGAATATACCACATTATTAATGTATAAATGTTATGAAAACAAAGATATAATTGAACTGTATCTGTTTTACTTTCAATTTTTTTTACCGGATTTTTATCTTTAAAGAAGATATGTCTACACTAGAATACAGGGTATTCATGAATCATGAAGTCCCAAAATTTTGTAAATTGCAAGGAGAATTTATCAATACCATATACATTTTATGACGGTCTAGAAGTTTCTGTACCAATATGGAGATAAGTAATTTTGTTCGCCCACCTTACATCAAGTTGTGTAAAGGGAATGAAGCCTATGGACAGGGGGTATATTCACTTGGCTATCACAGACAGTCCTCAAACTGGAATAAGAAAAATCGAAATAAAATTATGCCCTAAACCTAACCTGGGGATTACCAGATATTGTTATGTTATATTTGAAATAACATATTTTTGCCAGAAATATGTAACGCAATACCATATGTCAATAATCAAATTAGCAATAGCCCAAGGCGATGTGTGCATACACACAAGATGTGGCAAAAGATATTCGAGGGCTTGGTAACCCGATGCTGTTTAAAACCATTTACCATTATGTTTTTGTACTTTATCACTATACTGATAGGGAATGAAGATAACGTTAAATGTCGGAAGACAGTTATCTATAAAAATTTGTTATCTTATCTAATCAAATCTAATAATTTACTATACATATCTATTCAGAAATAAAATTTTGAAAAGTATAGATAAAGTATAGTATAGAAAAGTAAAGATATAGATATATATAGACAACTTTTCACATGAGATTTCATTTCAATGCTAAAATAGCTAAATTTTGATATGAAGTCAGTTACCAATATCTCAAAATACCCAGATTTGTTTTATAGGAAGAAAAAATTCAATAAATAATAATGAATATTAGCTCAATAACAGAAAATGTTAACTTTTTTTTATACAGAATAGGATTAAATCAAGGAAGAAAAAAATACCAAGTTCATAAAAAAATTGTCAAATGATCAGATGCCATCATACAATTTTGCTTCTGGGCAAAACAAAATGATTTATTTACTCATCATAGTGAAGTTATCTATTCAATTCATTGAAATTGATTAAAAAATTGCGATAAATAAAATGCAACAATACTGAATAAGCTGGCTGGAGGTGTATATAACTATAAAAAAGGAAGAGAGCAATGCTCAAATATATGGAGACAAACGCCAAAACGAATTAGTATGGATATGTAATCTTTCACAGTACCCAAACGGTACTGTAGTAGCCGTTACTGACCACCAGAATGTAACGAGCACAACTGCGGAACCGCCACGAGATTTTGCAATTTTTTAATTTGATGGCGTCATTCCACACACAAAAAAATAATCCCATAGAGACAACATAATTTTTTAAACTAACTAGAGTGATAGCCTTCAAGCGTTTTTTCTGGTAGGACAGTGAATAGGCGAGAGCTCACAGCCAACTGAGTTCAACAGCTGGAACTTTTTTTTTGAAGGAATAAGTTCCGTCGTTCCATTATAATATCTGTGAAATACACATAGAAAAGATTAACAAAAACTACCTTGCAATCATCTGGCACATGGACCTTCCTTGCTTTTCTTATAATAGGTTGCGGTTTCAACTCATCATCAGTGAAAGATCTCTTGCAAGGGTCAAAAGACTCTGAATCACTATCTCCCTCTTTCTGTTAATGTAAAGAAAAAAACTTTGAGTCAAATTTTCACAAAGTGGAAAAAATCGTATCAAAAATTTGAAGTAAAAAGAAGCAATTTAGTTATGATGTAACAATTGGAATTTTAGCAGTTGCTAGGAACTTTTCCTCTGGCAGATTTTCAGACAGTTTTTGAATAAATAGTAGCTCGCTCGTTCAAAGGTTTTTAGCGTTATTTGTCAGTTTTTAAAATTTAGGTATGAATCAAATAACTCAATCGTCCGCGGCAACAAGAAGAAAAAAAATTATTTTTGCCCATGTGAGCGCCTCTAAACTGTCAGATTAGAATTTTGATGGGGAAAAATCTTGAGTGTTGAAAATGGCCACACTAAATGGCTTTGCGGCCAGGTTGTGGCCTACAGGCCGCATGTTGCACACCACTGCATTAGATGCAACACATCTTTAATGATTATCATTAACCCTCAACCTACCGACATTGTATCCATTCCATCAGCCTCAAACTGGAGACAGTCGGTAGACTTTTGCTCCAACTCGCAAAGTGGGACAGGTGGGAGAGCTACATCCAACCCAGGGGACATGGGGATAGTGTGGGTGGGAGACTGTTGGTTGTACGACACATTGTTGAATTGTGTGAACTGGGGAGAATTAGCGAGATAGGGGGAATGGACCTTGTCTCGGGAGTCAATCAAGGCATACTGTTCATCTAAACAAAAAAGGCGGTATCAATTATGAAAAAAAAGAAAATTAAAATCGAAATTCCATGTTCTATTGTTCTCTCACATCAAGTAGAGTTTCTTAGTAATTTCAAATATTTGGGCAGGTGTGATTTGGGCTATTACGATTACTTCGCTGCTCGATATAATCAGTATTTATTTATATTCTTTAGTCTGCTTTCACCCTGAAATAACATTTTTGTATACTTTTACATTGTGTATTCTCAGCATGGTGAAAAATAAACTGCTGATTACGCACTATGGGGGCTATTGCCGAGATATGTAAGCGCCGGGTCTAAAATGATACTGAACAATTGAATTTCCAAACAACATTCAAATTGTCGAATACTTCCAATTTCAGTAAATTTAAAAAAAAAAACATTTGAAAGATTCAGATTTGACTAACATAATTGGAATACCTAAAGAGAAAACAAAAAAGATAAATTTGTAATACCAGTCAAATTTTTTTTTACTGGAATGAAATTGAAAAAAAAACAAAAAAAATATTTGCCCAAAATTGATTAAAATTAAAAATTAAATTCATTTATATTAATCGAAATCAAAATATGACCTGGAACACATGTTATATAACAAACCCCTTTTTTGTTTATCTTTTATATAACCAGTTATGTAACTGAGACGGAAAAATCAATACTCCTACTTACTGATGATATTATAACGACAAACCCTGCTGACGCATGATAATACTGAAGATCGAATATTAAAATCTTTCGAAGAAAAAAAAAACGAGGAAGCAAATATGAAAATTTACCTTTTAAAGCACTCAAGCTTGTGTCATAATATATACACGCACTCTTCAATATGGCTGACCAAATTGATATTAATTTATTTACATCCATAACAAGAAAATAGTCAATGTTGATAAAAAATAGAAACTCAATGAACTGGAGCAGATATATCTGATGAGATTTCCAACAAGTAGGGTCTTATTTGAGATAAAAGCATAACAATATTAAATTTCAAGGTTATATTGCCCAAAATTCAGAGAGCTATAAAGAAAATTCAGTACGAATAGCATTTTAAATCTTAAGAATAAAATGAGATTATATTTTTGTAATTATTACTAAGTTTTTTGTAATGAGTAATATTCCTTTATGAAACAAATACTTTTAAAAAAACACAGTAGTTTACCTTCACTTTCTTTGCCAATATGAGTTACATGATCATTTTTCAAACCGGATTCTTGTTGTAAATTCAGCAAAGTAATATCAACCTACACGAGACATTAGAGAGAGAGAGATTGTGGTTAAAAAAAAACGGCTAAAATTCTGAAATAAGCGATAATAGAAACGAAATACGATTTTTTTATATTCCGCTCAGAATGCGACGGGGGCCACAGATAATGAAGTGGCGGGCCACATGTGGCCCGCGGGCCTGGGTATGGACCACTCTAATCTAGCTTAGACTTAGAGCACTTTATTTTGACACTATGCACTATTTGCTGCCTGAGACGAAGTACGAAGATTCTGTAAAATCATCCAATTCACCTCACAGTTGAAAATCATACCCTTCATACAGAAAAACAAAACATTTCTTGATTGACCTTTGACCTCTCATCATCACTATTCTTCAAATTTTTCGGAGATCTTAGGTTCGAGTCCATTTGTTGTGTTAGTTGTTCTATGCTGGGGCTCTTGAAACTGGGGTCCCAAGGGTGGGTCGCGAAAGGGCTCGTGTATAACTTATATTTTCAATATCTCCCTAAATCACATGATTATCTTGCCCAGTGCCTAGTTTATAGTAAACATTTTACTTCTCTGTTCAAATCACTGTCATCAAGAAGTTCTTCCAAATCCAATTGTTCCAATTTCATTTCACCGTCAATGCACTGGGCATTGTTCCAGATTTGGGGTCCGAGATAAGCCGCATGAAAATCGGGGCTTTGGTCTTCTAATGTTTTTTCTTTTTCTTAAATAATGATCACAAGGAAAATATCAGTTATCAAAATCTCTAAAAATATCCCAGGAATGGTCGAAATATCTAATAGAAATTAAACGATAGCTCGTTTAGCCATAGCAAGAGACTCACTTATTCCTAAAATAAAAAATTAATTATATGGGAATATTATAACACTCTAAGTCTAAGACATCACTACATGACGTTCTTTCCAAATTTTTGTCATGTGGAGAGTATTTTAAACTCAAGATTGGATTTGATTAATTTTATCTATTTCTGAAATTAGTAAATTAATTTCAATTTCTCAAAAGCTTTTTCTTAAAGATATTTTCAATATATAACATTAATAGTTGTAGATATAATCATTTTATATAACACCAACTAATTGACATGCTCTTGATGCAGCTGTTATATTTTATAAGGTGATTATTGGGCGCTCCAGAAGTGTGTGTATCAATATGGAGGTAACTAGTTTTGTTCGCCTACCTTACATCAAGTTGTGTAAAGGGACTGAAACCTATGGGCAGGGGTATATTCACTCGGTTAACACTGACAGTCCCCAAACTTGTAACAGAACTAAAATAAAGAAAATGGGAATAAAATTATGGCCTGGCCCTACGAGGGTACTATTTTAAAAGATATAAAAAAATGAACCTTTTTTAGAATAAATTTATATAATATCATAGTCTATAAATGATTTCTTAATAATGGTGATATAAAACCCGTTTTGATGCAATTCGAGACACGAATTTAACCAAGTAAGAGAGCAATGCTCAAATATATGGACACAGCGCTAATTGGTATCGGTAACTGAGCACCAATGTTAATGAAAGGATTGGCGGCCAACCAATATTGGATTAAAGGGTTCACCTTTAAAAAAAAAAAAAACTTTGTGAAATATCGGGTCCCGAAGGAAAATTTAATAAAATATAAAAGCTAACGGCTCCTGATATGTCCCAAAAGATTCACTATCACCCTAAAATACAGTGTGACTCAGTGTACTGTAAAGTGCTTTATTGTGCTAATATTGTGTACAGTGTTTTAATATTATTTTATATGTACAGTAACACATAATTTCATTTCAATCTTCTTTTCCAACATGTATCCTTTCAGTAACACAACATTATGGCACTTGTGCCATGCCTTGACCTTTGCACCCCTCCACCTGTACATGGCAATGAGCTTCCTGTCTGCCGGTACTCTGGTACTAGACTAGCCTTGTGCACTGAACAATCTGCTTTAACTATTAACCTGTAAATTACAGATAAAACAGTAGTTTACTGCAGTTAGGATTATATTCTTTGTTACTGATAATAAAAGCTCAGTTCTACATCTGTTGGTCTGTTCTTAGTCAAGCCAGGCTATCTGTCAGGAAGCAATCAAGCAAGCACAGCCCTGAACTTATTAGCTCCTAGCAAGTTGTTCTATCATAAAGCACTGAAAATATGAAATAGATTGCTCCGTTAGTTGCGTTTCTCAACAACAGTAAAATGAAACCATACCAATTATGGTATCATGCAAGATATAGAATTAATTTACTGCAAAAATTAAGTTCACACCACCAATATGATTTTTTTAATCAAACACATACCTTTATTCGAACCAAGATTTTGATCCGGAATATCATTTTTGGATCCAGATTCTTGTGGAGACGAGAGCAAGGAAATGTCCAACTGTAAAAATTTAAATTAATTGTATCATAAACATGGGACTGGGTGGGTGTTGTATGCAAAGTCGTACAGGATGGTGTTGTGATGCATCATGCCAAGCATTAGAAATACACCATTAGAATTTTTTGTGTGGGTTCGCAGGTTTAAAACCTGTGGCGATAATTATGTGAAAGAGGATTGCTAGACTATTTGTCGCCGCAGGGTGGTTCATGTAACCGCTGGCCGGTTACGGCCTCCTGCATCACCAAGTCCATGAATCTGAAACAAATAATTGGCTAACTAATCCCATACATGACTGATAACCGGACGAATCTCAGTGGGAAAATTTTTTAGCTCCAAACTTTGAGAAAATTATATATGAATAGGAAAAAATTTTGGCATACACAAACAGTCTATAAAAACGGTTAAAAATTTATCCTCCAAGTTTTTGTAGGGAATTTTGACTTATTATCACCAATCACCATTGAAAGTACGCAATTCAGATTGCTGGGGATTTCAGAATTTGGACTTTGACTTAACAGCTGCAAAAATCAAAATATAATTATTTAGAAATAATTGATTAGCGTAACAAAGCGATTATATAGATTAATAAAATAAAATTCATTTCAACCTCTTTATTTAAGTTGTTCTCATTCATGAGTTCTTCCAAATCTATTTGTCCCAGTTTCATTTCATCGTCTCCCATAGTATTGTTCCATATTTGTGGTCCGAGATATGCTTCACTGAAATTTGGAATTTCGTCATCCAACTTGTTTTCTTTTTCTTTTAAATAAATAACCAACATTTAATAAGTAATAAATTAATAATAAAAATAATTTACAATTTCAAAAAAAAATTCGAAAAATTCACCAATTCTTTTCCAGAGACCTAATGATGTTTAGTATCAGTTTTGACAGGTGATTATCCTCATAATGATTTAATTACCTGATTGCCGCAATCAAGTGTAGACAATAAATGGAAAAAAATTTCATTTCTCTCTTTGAGAGTATAATATATATTATTAAAAATAATCAATTGTTTCCGTTCCCTATGAAGAAAATCAATATTTATATGGAAAATGTGTTTTATTTTGAGGCACAACACCTTTTCAAGTGGCAACATGATATATGGAAATTTGGTTTGTTTTGGTGATATGGCACACATAACAGTACTTCAAATAAATTTGGGAAAACAATACACCTTTTGCATTAGATACAGAGATGTTGTTTTCGATACGTACAATAGTGGTGAAAGCTTTTAACATGTTTTCATACTTCCAAATCTCGTTCATGAAATTGCAATACAAATGTTTCAATTACGGTATCTTCAAATTCACAATTGCAACTGATAATTTCGATGACTAATGAAGATTTGATAAAAAAAAAATTCCAAGTAATATATTGCACATTCTAACAAAAAAAAATTATGATGTTAACCCTTTCCGTGCGATGGGCACGCATATGTACCAACGACAAAACTCGCTAGATCGCGGCGGGTACTTCAAGTTACCCATAGTTTTATTTAGCAAATGGTCGCAAACTGTTGGTCTAGTTTTTCCGGGTTTTAGTTTATTGATAAGAAGTCTTCTTCGAGATTAACATAAGCGACGGTAGATCTCGCTTTCGTTTATGACAGGAATTTTATTTGCGGCGGAACGAGGGAGTGATTTTGAAATTTATGCAAATTTCGGTGTTTTTTGGGTGGTAATAGAAGATATATTATCCCTTCCATCTACCAAAGTATTTTGAGTTAGATCACGAAATTGCTACAGCAACATTATGCTATTGTTTGCCAACCACGAAGCGGTAACAGTAAAGGATTTAGCGAATATTTTTATTTTTAGTCGATCGATTAGTTGTGGGGGTACAAATGCATAAAATCGGCGTAGCAAATACGATTATTTAATAAAAAATAAAAATCGCATGGAAAGGGTTAATGGAATTTCTAAATTTTTTAAATTCGAAAAATCAAATTTTCAAGGTTTGGAATTGAATAATTTTCAAATCGTTAACTATTTTATCGATTTGTTTTTTTGCAGGACCAACAACTTATCCTTCCTATATGCTTTAACACTGGTGGATCCGTATGCATATGATACAAAGACACTACAGCAAGAGTGGAGATAACAATTCGAAGTCATTTGAATTGAACGTCTTAATTAATGCACACTAACGAATATTATATTTCTGTATAAGTGTGCAGCAAGACTCTAAAATCATTTAGGGTAACTATTTTTGCAGTGTTTTATGTGAATTTTTAAAGCCTTTAACAATGGACTATCCGGGATATATGATAAGGATAATGTGTAGTAATCAGGGCTTGGGAGTTGAAACCTGAAGTCGAGCTTACCATGTTAGTTTCTTGTAGAATGTGGCCAATATTCAAAATATTTATGAGTCACTTATGAGTACAAATTACAAATCTTTTGCTAATCTAATAGTTGAATTACTTCCGTTAATAAAAAGCTTTGATTTGAGATTTGATGCAACTAACGCAATGACAAATTTTTTTGGCATAGTTGTTATTAGTTTGCCAACACATTAACTAACGTATCGATTGGAAGAAGGGTAGCCTCAGGGCATGAGAGTATCGATCGTTATCTTGGTTTGATATAATTATTGTGGCGAGATCTTTGAATGATTTCAAATGAACGAAGGCTAGAAATATCAAATTATCTTTTGAAAAACAAAAAAAAATTTATACACAAAGAATATGTACAATGAAATTCACATAAAAATATCCTATTAATCTGAGATAAAAGTATTTATCAGTTTATTTCATTCCTATCATGAAAGAGCTTAATATTATATTAAACAACATGCTTCACTCGTTTCATGAATGTAGAATATTAAATTACAGGAAGCACAATAGCACTCCTATTACAAATCAAAAACAATGACGTCTGCTCCATATTTTTAGCCCTGCTTATGAAACGAAATTTATGATACTAATTGGGCGAAAAAATGCGATTTCAACATCCAAGTGAGTCTGCTTAGACAATTTTATCATGTTAGCTTTTTATTGAAACCTGTATCATCATTCTCATTTTCTTATTACAAATGGTTAATAATGTTGAATTGACTAATATCATCTAATGCAGAAATTATTACATGATTATTTATGATGGGCGCTACAGAAGTATGTGTACTAATATGGAGGTAACTAATTTTGTTCGCCTACTTCACATCAAATTGTGTAAAGGGACGAAAGCCTATGGGCAGGAGGTATATTCAATTGACTGACACAGACAGTCCCCGAACTCCTAATAGAACAAAAAGAAGGAAAATCGGAATTAAATTATGGCCTAACCCTAACCTGGTACACATACTACGAGAGTACCTTATGTTGTGCAGCAAGGAAAAACTCTGGTAGATATAAAATCAGTGGAGCAATAACAATAAAATGTAACAAAAGAGCGATGATCAAAGATATGGACAACCAAGGCCAAACTGAAGTAGTACGGATATGAAATCTGTAATCTATTACAGCAGATTACTGAAACCAGGGTCTAAAGACCTCGCATGACCACTAACATTTACGAGGAGACGTCACAACTCGATATCAGATGAAAATTATAATAAATTGTACTCTTTGTTTATTTTTCAATATTATTTATTCCAAATTTTGTTTCTATTTTTTTCAAATATTATTTATTCCAAATTTTGTTCCTATTTTGATAGACAACCTACATTGATGATGAAAATTGAATCCAACAAAAATGTAACTAGAAACATATAGGAAATTATTGTTTCAAATTTAGAAATAATATTCAAATCTATAGTTATATTTAGTTGAGACTATGGGCATATAAATTCTTATTCATATTTTTTTTATTAGGCGTATACTGTATACCTTCAGGCGAATACCTTTGAGATTTCAAATTGATTTTTAACCTTTAATCTTTAAAAATGGAGGATTACAACTGCTTCGATATAGTTAGCACAAAGAGTATCGATCAAATAGGACTAACTGAAGGACCGGTCAAATCAATACCGGGATATGTTGTGCAAATGACGATGCTCTGATGCGTTATGAAATCAAGATGAAGAATTATATCTTCTTATTGAATATATATTCATGTTGAACGGAATTTACAATATAGAAAGAACTTTGAGAAAAAATTTCCGAAAAGGTTCATGTGGTAAACCACATAAATTACTATATCATGTTGATCATATCTAAAACGACTTAAATATAAAGGTAATTGTTTTCTCAGTGTTGTTTGTTATCAGTTGAGATATCGTACATTGTCTCACGGCTCAAAATCCTTAATTTTTCATAAAAATGTTCCTCCATAAGATGGATTTACTATATTGAATATAATGGATTTCGAATGAATTCAAATATTCGATTCACTTTCGACATCATTCACTAAAATGGGAAAACATGAGCAAAAAAAGTTATCCTCACAAGAAGGTTAAAAAGTGTTGAAATGTATTTTTGAAAATATTATAATCAATAGCATTCATGTATATAAATAAATTTACAATCATTCATCATCACAAAAGCTTTTGTGGCATGAACTCAACACGTGTGATGCGACCTATGACTACAGATCGATTTTTGTTGACTCAAGTTACGTGTTCTCTACATGGATGACCTATTAACCTATTGGTCAAGGCAGTCGGTCTGTATTATTTATAAGTTTTTGAAACATGAATCCCAAATAATACCATATTAGAACAATGTAATCGATTGGAATTTGTAGATATAAAAACATTATAATTAATAAGGCGCTCTAGAAGTGTGTGTACCAATATGGAGGTAACTACTTTTGTTTTCCTACTTTACATCCAGTTGCGTAAAGCGACTGAAGCCTATGCGCAGGGGGGGTATATTCACTTGGCTAACACAGATAGTCCCCGAACTCGTAATAGAACTACAATAAGGAAATTATAATGATGGATAAACGATGCCCATTGTAAGAATTTTTTAATTCAATGTGTACATGGAGAAACTAAATATTTTATGCGGCCCAGCTAGATGGATGAAGTCGATTATAAGGCCCACCGCAAAAAAATACACCCCTGCTTTAGCTCTTTCAAAATGTCAGGGCTTCACGGCTCTGTCACAAGCTTCCCTGCCCTGATAATGACAAAGAAAAAGGTACTCACTGCAAGATTTCTTCACAGGATTCATATACTGAACAGAATTGAGTAGGTATTCTAAATCTGGTATGAAAGGATCAGTAGATCTTGCCAATTCCATTTCGCAGTTTCTTCAGCCAAATGGCCAGTCAGATAAGATATATAGTCTTCTCTAATTATACTGGTATTTTGGTGTCTGACAAATAAAATTTTATAGATTTTAATTCTCTGAAATATACTGTGTGATAAACAACAAGAGAACAACGTGCAAATGGAGGCCAAAATGAAGTAGTACACATATACAATCTTTCACTGATCGCCAGAACGCAACAATTTTAAGCACTGAAAACGTTTGATCAGAGAGAGAGAAGCGATTATTTTGCAAAACTGTCTATATGGATACTTTGTGTCAAAATAATTCTATATTATGCTTAGCATGACATATTATTTTAAAAGTAAAGGGACAACTTATAAAGGAACAACGAATCTTAAAATAAATTATTTTTTCAGTATTACAATTTTTAAATGTGTTCTCATAAACAATTTGTATTGACTATCGAACATTCTTTGCTTAAACTGTTGATAAAATAATGTCTTGAAATCTCAGCTGCTTGCTTTAATTTATATATTATTTATTTTCTCTTGACTATAATAATGGAAGTTGACAATCTAAACCCAAAACGACAAATTCACTTTTTCCCATTCATCTCAAGTCTAGAGATCAATCTCCTTTATTTCTGACTCTGAGTGAGTCCACAATTAACCTTGCTTTGAGTAAATATCCATAAATTTGAAAAAATCAAAAAAAAATTTGCCATCGGGTATTACATAATAACACTGAAAACCTGATTAAAAACACGAGACCACCGAATATATCCGATTAATGTCCTACAATAATAAATTCTGTATAAACAAGAAAAAATATACCAAACCACTCATATTAAGGCCTTTCCATCAAGGCGCTTGCAATAACCCGAGGCTATTTTTATCGATAACGTACTGAATGTTTATGCTTTGTCAAAATCAAAGCATTTACTTCTTAAGCGTAATTTATATCATATAAATTACACATACCCCTATATATGAAAATAATTTACCTACACAATATGTATATTTTCAACTAAAATAATTTTATCTATTGGATTGTTTCCAAGCAAAACTTAATTCACTCACTTCAATAGATAATTTTAGGTGAAAATGCTTCGAGTGTTGCTTGGCTAGACCCTGAACTCGTAATAGAACTAAAATAAGGAAAATTGCAATAAAATTATGGCCTAACCTGGTACACATACTATGTTCCAGTGTCCGCCATCTGGTACGCATACTTCAGGAGCGCCGCTAAAAGACTACTACTCTTACTTGATGCTGCATCACCTTATTGTGCCACAAAAAAATTTACATAATAATAATTTATAAGCCCAATTTGGATCTTTCTTAACGATGAGAATTTGTTGGATAGTACTAATGGGCTACAAAAAATATGACACAAAAACAAGTTACGTAACCTTTTTCTATTTTATTTTCCCTCTATATGCTTTTAATAAATAACATCACAAGATTTCAAACATGATCTTTGTTCACACTAGTTGACAAGTCTTGCCTGTAGAATACGTTTACAGAGATCAGGAAATATTTGAATGATGTATAAAATAGCTTTTCTTATCTTCTTATTTGATAACAATACTAATTTTTATTGATTTTAAAAGCATGATAAATCTGAAATTATACGGATTCAAAAATCCAAATACCTAGTTTTAACTCTTTTGTTCCGTATGACGAATATATCCGTATTACCATCCTTGGTCATAATAGTTCTTTTCGGACTATTTTACGTTTATGTTCATGTTTTGTGAAGTATTCCGCACTAACTAAATCATTTTGAGCATCCAACTATGATCCGTGCTTGATCTGTCAACATTTTTTTTTTTGTAAATTTCTTATTTTACTGCTAATTTTTTTGTAAATTTCCTGTTTTACTACTAAGTGAATTTTATTTGTGTAGGTATTTCAAAGCTTAGAGATACACGAAAGTATTTGTCATTACTTCAAAAATAAGTCATTTGAACGAGCGGGAAACAATTTCGCGCACATAATAAACAAACAAAGATTCCAGACAACTATAGTGGACATGCTCTCACATATCATTGATTATTTCGCATTTCGCTTCGCTTTCGAAGATGAGTCTGGTTTTTCTGCAAAGGTGACGTAACGCTCTTTCAGAAGAGCGCTTGGAATTTCGTTTCTTTGTAACACGTGTTCATCGAATCGATAAGAGTGTTAAATGTTCTCTCAAAATTTTTTGGGTCAAACTGTTTACGCCTACGTCATTTGGGCGCGTTTTAGTAGGAAGACGCGAAAATAAGCTTTTTAAAGAGATATTGGGCGTGTTCCTTGTACATTTGGTTAACTGGTCATTACATATTATAAAATGGTACAAAAAGTCGATTGTATACAGCGGAAAAAAAGGGTTAAAACAGCCACAAATATGTGCGTCGAGTGTACTCAGTAAATTCACGTTTTTATGATTTATTAACACAACTAAGAATATGGATAAGGAATTTTAAGAAAAAATTATAGCAACTGTGACAAATAAGAAGTGTCTAAAATTATTTAAATATTCGAATATATTTGAACTTGGTTATATTTGATTTGATAAGAATTTGGAATATTTTCATTTGAAATTTTGTCATTTCAAGCAATTGACATCCAACTGTCAGACTGAAAATAAATTTATTTAACTTCCTAAAACTTCTTTTGAAATAAGAACATGGTTAGTTATCCCAATGAATTATGAGATTTAATTTCTATTTAATCTTAATAGTTTGTATGAAGATGCTCTTTTGAACATGATTAGATTTAGATTACGGTACATTTGATATTCCATATAAAATGTATTTATTTAGAAAAGTAGATTATTTAACTTAGGCCATTCCTGATAACGACCATACTACCGTGTTTCCCTTAAAATAAGACCGGGTCTTATTTCAATTTTCTTTTAAAAAATAACACTAGGGCTTATTTTGGGGGGATGTCTTTTATCTTCATTTATGAAAATCAAAATTACAAATTACGAGATTTTCAAATAAACAAAATATAAAAACCGATATCCATTTACTTATAACTAACATGTTTTTATTGAAAAAAAAAAAAAACTGCTAAACATAGATTATTTAAAACTGACCATATCATCATCCTCTGGAATGTCTTGCAAGTCACTAGATTCATAATTTTTCGACTAAGTCTTATTTTGAGGAGAGGGCTTACTTACAGTTATATTAAAAGTCATTTTCCAATCAGGCTAGGTATTATTTTCGGGAAAACACAGTATAACATAGCCGTTATAATTGCCCTTTTTATAGGCCGCCTTTAATTCTGCAATATAAATATTTCGGTAATATTCATACAATATTCATCCTCTCTAGCCTGTAAAAACGAATAAATTACTATCCCGATTTAATTCTGAATTACTATTATATTCTCGAATAAGAAATATTGAATATTATAACTATACTTAATTACTTATTATAACTGCTTAATAATAGGGTAAATTATCATAAATCCATAAATAGGGTTGCCACTTCTGGATACATCGAGCTTTTTTTTTTTCATTGCATGCGTATGTTTGCTCAAAGTCACAAAAAAGCTTAAATATAGAGAAAAACCTGCAAATGGAATATGCTATATAGCAAGGATGACAAGATTTTTCAGTAAATAAGCCACACTTATTTCAATCATGATAAAAAAATATGTAGGTCATAGATATCACCAATAAATGCATTGATGAAAAACTTGCTGACTGCTGTCACAAGTCTTACAATACTGAGTTATTATTGTGTAGCTTCACACATGCAGTACTTGTATCAGGACTGAGGCAATTTGATGGAATTCATATGAGAAAATAAGCAGGGAACAGTTGTACTGTTATGTCATAAACACAGTAACAGCACTGCTTTCCCCAGTCGCACACCAGTATATGTGACTGTGGTATTTCACTTCTTGTTATATTGAATTAAGGCCGGCGTTATCACCAATTTTTCATCTTCAAAATTTTAGTACACTATTTTATATTTATGCTAGCAGCATACAGTAATACGACAAAAACATTCTAATTGCATCTAAACTAGACTACTATAAATGGGAAATGCTTGAAGACGATAAAAATAAATTAAATTAATTTCGAGAAAAACAATCGTTCCACCGACTACGATTGCGAACAAAAATTTCCAATAATATTAGAGACAATATTATTTGTGGCTAACAGCGTTATTGGCTAACACGATCTTCATCATTATCGTGGACTTCGTTTAATTTCATAATTCAGAAAGTCCAAATGTGCATAATGGACGCCGCGCTGACGAGCGATAATTGGTCGACACTGTATATCGATCAAACATGGTCATGTCAAGTATGGGATTAGTGAGCCAGATAGGGTGACTTACCCACTTTGCAGCTAGACCTATTAGCGACCATCATAAACAAAAAAGTTACGACCGAAAACCCGACCCGAAGAAAAAAAACGGACCATTTTTCCATGTCGCCAACTACCCATTGTCCCTATAAAAAAGCTTGAAAATCCATACAAATATAAGAGATGAAAAGATGAAACTTGGCAGGTGGGTAGAGTTGTGTTTTTTTTAACCATCTTTAAAGTTTCGCGTTTCTACAATTAAAGGAGTGGGAATAGGGGGGTGCACATTTCCAATACGTCGATAATATCTTTGTCGACCAATTTGCAACCACCATGTTTTGGTCTGTTTGATTGCTGTGATGCGGTGCTTTGTTTAAAATTAGAAGAGTTTTGTTCGAAATAACCGTGTTCTTAAAATATATGACGGTCATAAATGCAATTAGAAGCCCATTTTTTCATGCATGGCTGCGTATGCCCTAGTCTAGACGCAGCAGAAACGATGTTCAAGGCTTAAAATCCGTGGTCGCACACTGGTCGTTCGGTCGCAAATACGTCTTCAGAGTGTCATACTTTGGTGGTTTGCCTGGCTTTAACTCCTGGTCGTAGAAAGTTAATTCGAGGGTTAGCGTGTAAAATAAATGCCAATGCACCTACGGTGAAAAAATTAACGGGTTAGAAATATTGGTTTTTGTTTTATAGCTATTTGAATGAAATCGTCGGCAGACTGGCTACACCACCCTATTTGTTTCTTTTGCATGAACTTGAGGGTGGAGGAATCCGTACCGGTAACCACATGCAAACCCACCAAGGGAACGGTTATCACACTGTCATAGATGTGCTGACAGAACTAAGAGATATTGGTCATCATTCACGGTACCGTACCAATTCCTGAATTCAGCATTTTATCAACGCACGGCTTCCTTCCTGCCTTATTTTTTTTGCCAAATCAATTCATTGCCAATTCGGATTTATAATATGATATTTTTGGTATACCGGTGCCCAAATAATTTATTTCAGTTTTGTTACAAATAAAAGAAACTTCCAACCTTGTGTTGTTCTTATTACACTGTAGCAGTGAGGCAAACTCTCTTCCTTCCAATTCTGCAATTCTTTTTTTGCCAAATTTAAATCCATTGCCAAATCGGATTTATACATATGATAGTTTTAGTAATATATATTACAAATTATTCCAAATATATCGACGCATGAAATCCAAATTGGGCTAAGTCCATTTTTCTAGTTTTGAGAAAAACGCAAAAAACGTTTTTTTTTGTTTCTTTTTTTTATTTCTCTAATACCTTACATCAAAGATGTCTAGTTTTTATGGTCCACCAAAGTTACAATGAAGGCCATCTTTAGATGGTATAAAAAAATTTATGCTCCGCCCCAATTTTTTTTTGGTTTTTTTTTATTGGACTTAACCCTTTTTGGCTCTCAATTTTCTGGACCAGAAACAATTTTATTGGACTTAGGGCCCCTTTATTATGTTATTATGGAGGCTGGTATGGACTTAGCGCTTTGTATTATATTTTTTGAGAGGAGCTATGTCAAAAAAACGGACTTAGCCCCAACTTACAATGCAGTTATCCAGAGCTAAGTCCACTATAGTATACACAGCTCTGTTTAGTTCTCAAATGCCCTAAAAAAAGCAGGGTTATGTCCATAGCTGTCTTGAGATCTAGAGCACCTAGAGATAAGACAAATAGACCAAAATGTAGAGCTAAGTCCAGGAAAATCAGCAATTGAAAAATGTCATTTTTTGGAAAAGTGGACTTAGCACTGTTTGGTTTTGAGGTGTCGATATATTTCAATATTATTGCAAGAGGTCCAAATTTTATTTTATTTTTGTAATGTAATTTAGGTGATTTCATACAATGAATAAGTATACAATGAAAAGATAAGACAAATATTGAATAATAAAGACCAGATACATTTACCATTTAATTCCATATGTCAGTATCTCCATGAAGTATGTCCATTTGTGCATGAAGTTGA